AAAATTTAAAAAGTCTCATTGTAAATTCTTGCAGAAATTCGATTTTTAAGCACTTTTTGGCATTTTTCTGGCAGAAAATCGAATAAAAACACTTTTTTTTCCCTAAATCTCTCAGAAAGTCGACGAAAGTAGCATCATTTGTTCGGTTGCTGTCGACATGTAAAATGAGGTAGTGTCTGCCAAAATTTTCCGATTTTCTGGCGAATTCTTTGCCCCTCCCATATTTCAAAACAATCGACAACCCCGATGGGGAGAAATCCTTTATACGTAGTTACTGTACTCACTGAGCTCTGCGAAATGACAAATACCCGATTCAAAACGAATAGTCACACTTGGGGACCTTCCCTCATTAGGGAAAACTATTTTGCTGAATTCTCAATCCAGCTGTAGAGATTTCTGAAAAAATCAAATAATAATAATTTTATCTAAAAATTTCGTCCATAAATAGATCGAATGACTAGTAATACATTCTACAAGTTTTCAGTCGAAAAGAATATTTCTTTATTGAGATATTATTTCTCAAGTATAACTTGATTTTAGTTACAAACGATCATTTTTTTTGAAAATTCAAAATCTTGACAAAGAAATATTCTTCTACTAATCATTCGACCTGTTTTATTAGCAGAATTTCAGTAAAACAGTCATTAATCGGCACGAACCTTTTTAGAATTTTTCTAGTCCTACTGAAAACTTCTTTGTGAACTCAATATGAATTCAAACGGTGAGTATTAGTTCCCTCGTAAGAAGAATTGGAGAACATTTTTTTACATCAATCATGATAACGATAAGAACAAATATCTTTTTCTATTAATCAAACATTCAATATAAGTACATACATGAGGATATTTTTTTAAAAACGCATCTTCAATAATTCCATTAAGTTTAAATGAATATTGTTCCCATTGATCGGAATTAGATATTAATTCAACTGACCAAATAACAGCTCGTGAAACTGCATGAATATGTGCTTCTTTAAATGTTTCACTTGTTAATTCATAAAAATATTTTTCAGCTTCATGTACCTAAAAATTATTATTAAATATTCAATGAATAGAATGAATCTTATTAAAATATTACTGAATCTTTTGTTCCAATAAGTTCAAGTGTAACAGTATCAAAATCAAGTGTTGGTATAACACTGTGTTTTATACAATATTCATAATATTTATTTATTGTATCTTGTGACCAATCAAGCATATCATGTTTATTTACTAATTGTGATTTTGTTGAAAATGATCGAGCTAAATCAATAATTTCTTGTTTACATTTCATTAAATGATTATCATTTGTACTAATTAATGTTATTTTAATAACTAAATTAAAAACAAAAAAGACGTTTATAATAAATAAAACGAACTTTTTTTTTTACGTTTTTTTCTTCCTACTTTTTTTATTATATATTATTTTTGGTTGATCATCTTTTTTTTTCGTTGGATTGTTATAAGATACGGTTAAATCTACACTTTCCAATAGATTAAGATATTTAATAAATGCATCATAAACATTTTGTTGATTTGATAAAAGAATAAATGAAATATTCATTTTTATTTTACTTGTTTTAATTTGTTTTTTTGTTTCATGTAACATATATTTAGCTATGATCAATGGATCAAAATTAAATTTTCCACAACCAACAGCTGGAAATGCTGAAAAAAAAACAAGAACATTGAAGAAATAAATAGAACGAAAAAAAAAAAAAAGATAAATAATTTGTTTAAACTAACCAATATTTTTGAGTCCTGCTGAGTTAGCAATTATAAATGCTGTTGAAACAAATGTACTCAAAGATGATTTAACATCAGCTGGATCATGAGAGATTGGTGACCATGGAATAAAGAAAATTTTTTTGCATGGTAATGTACCACCGGATGTTGTATCTGGAAATTGTCCAGATGCTTCCAGATGTTTATATTCATTTTGTACTTGAACACCAGCTTGATCAACAATTTGTTTGCATAAGTATGCTGATGAAGAACAAATAACAATGGCATCAACCTATAATGAAATAATCAATTTGACTCGTTTTATCTTCTGTTCGAAGGTTAATAGAATGAAAAAAAAATTGCATGTGACTTCTATTAGCTCATCTGCTTTTGTTTAATGAAAGTAACTTACAATGGAGGTGTTTGTACTGTCCATCGAAAAAGTGGCACATATTCGGGTCAAATGAAAGCTCTCACCGCCAAACTAACAAGATTAAAATATTAGCTGCTAATGGCTTGCCTAGAGGGAGATATTTAACTTTTAAATTTAGGTATAATAATGAATGAGGAAAGGCTTTCTCTACTATTATAAGGACNCTTTTATGGCAGTGCATGATTCAATCTTAGATCACCATTCATATGTAAGATGTCAAATGCATATATATTTTAATTATCGTCTTACATGGTTTAAATTCGTCCATGAAAGAGTCTCAAACGTTTAGAAAAATCTCTTCATGGTTTAAACAGATGAAATACGAAGAACAATAATGAACAGCTGAGAGCTTCCTTATATGGAACTTTATGACTCAGATTCGTTATGATTTCGTCTACACACGTCTTGGGTTTAGAAATAGTAAATGTTGTATAGGATCAGATTTCGATATTTTTTCGGCTCGTGCAGTCAGCCGACTTCTCTACCCGGCCTTGGGTCGGGTGGAGTTCTAGTTTGATAAATCGTTTTTCATTATATAAAATGCTACGCGGAAAAAAAACATTTTGGCGCCGGAACCGAGATCATGTTATCCATGTCTAGGAGGCAGTCACAGAAAACTGACAAGTGATAATATAATGGGGAGGGAGCGTCCATAAACCTAGAAAAACTGCAAAGATAATCAAATTTAAAATTACAAATCTCTCCTTCCATGTATTGATGTTTTCTTTTTTTAAATTTGGAGTATCAAAAGATAAACATAAGTTCAAATGTTTTCTTTGAAAAAAAGAGAAATATTTAATATATTTGTCAGATAAAACTGAATAGATGTAAATTTTTTTTTTGTTTTTGGAATCAAAAATCGATCTAATAGCCTCTATAATTCTATAAGTGAAACTAGAATGATGTTCTCATACCATGAGCATTAATAAATTCAATTTCCGCACAATCATCTGTTGAAAAATTAAAAGCAAATATATCATTCCAAGCAGATTCAAAAATAATTTTTAAATCATTAAACGTAATAGATTTATTTGTATTATTATAATGAATTTCTAAAGCATCACATTCATATACTTGCGATAAAGTTAAATGTTTGCCTGATAATTCTGATTTAGATTCATATGCTTGTCGAACACGATCAAAATCTAATAAAACATACAAAAACATAAGTTTACAATAATTTCAATAAGAATAATTACCTATTTCATTATTACAACGAACAAGTATTATTTGTTCGCTATTTGTTGAAAGATCAGATATTCTATTTATTGAATTATTTTTAATAAGTGTACTAATATAAAGTTCAATACGTGATGAATTAATTTTATCATGTTCATTATTAATTGATGTTTTTAATAGAAAACTTGTTTTATCAATTATTTGACTAGTACGTTTAAATTTTATATCAGTACCATGATGATTGATTACAGGTGAAATAAGTAATTTTTCAACATCTAAAAAAATTGTATTTTTTTTTTTTTCATACAAAAAAAAATGTAATCTAATACCATCTATTCGTCCTAATTGAATTGTAACTCGACGAAAATATTCATTTTCATTTTCATTATATTTATCTTCAATTTTAATATCATGTGTATGTAAAAGAATTTCAATAATTTCCATATCTATTTGTGGAGCAAGACTTGACGATGGAAAACTAACATCGACTTGTCGATTTGAATCATCTTTTTGTGTTATAGAATTTCGTGCAGATCCATGATTTGAAACACCACGACCACGGCCATGACCCCGACCACGACCACGCCCTCGTGGTCTACGACCTCGAGTATGTGGTAAACATGATGATGACGGTCTCTATATCAAAGAAAAATAAACAAACATTATTTACTATTTAATAACTATGTGAAATTTTCTTACTAATGAAAATTTTCTAAGACGAAGAAGTTTGACAAGCAATACAGGATTTACACATTCACAATGGTTTTCTGCAATAATTTTTCTATTATATCCTTTACTAAAATCGTGTGGAAAACGACAATTTAAGGATGGACAATTGCCTTCAAAATGTCGACATATATGAAGTCGAACACATTGATTTTCTTGACCTGAACAATGATTATTAAGAAATTCATCACAAATTTCAATCTAAAACAATAGATCATTAATTAGATTGAAAAAAAACAATAATATAAATAATTTACTTTAGGTTCAACACGAATTGTTACTCTTCCATTAGCATTATTTATCAATTGAAATAATCCTGGACTGAGTATTTGCACATGACGACGTATATCTTCTACATTACATGAAATACCTTGATTGACAAGTGCATTGTTCACGTCTGTATCTGTTAATATACATTGTCGTTTGTCAAGAAAAACAGAAATAATACTATCGGACAAACTAGCCATCGTCGCAAAATAATATCTAGAATTGAATATTTAAAAATTTTCATCATGTTAGTATGTTTTTGTTTCTTTGAAATCGCAAGCAGCTGAAGAAAAAAAAAAGAGGTAAGAAAAAATACCCACAGAACAACAAATCTAACACGTGCAATTGCAAGAAAAGAATTACAGACGACATAAATCTTGCTCATTTATCAGGAAAGTTTATCAAGAAACAAATGACATCATTAAAATACAAAACATGAGGCAGAAATGATTTTCTGTAATCGAACGTATTCTTTAATAAGTTTTTCAAAATTAAAAGACAATACATTTAAAATTTCTTATTAAAAAAAAATTAAGCATAAAATAATTTCTAGAGAAGCATAAACAAATGATTAAGACGTTTATTCTTAAAATAGAATTGTATGAAGCAGAAAAACGACTTAGGAAACCCTTACTTCCATTTTTCTCTTCTAGACTGTTTCGTGTTACAAATTATTCGACGAAGTTGCGACAATGTACTTGATTTGTTTGTCAAACAGTTTAATTTCGCAAGAGACCAACTTTCACCTGTAATATTACGATTTACAGACGACTGGTTTAACGAAAATCACGATTTTGATTTTTCGCCAAATATCTGCCTATATGCACATTGTAAAGGCGGAAATGTAAATATTCTCTTCTCCTACGCCAACATCCACATTCATACCCAAGAGAGAAAGTCGAAAAAATTTATGATGTTTGTAAAAAAATGAAATGCAATCATAAGCTCGAGCTATGACAAAGGTCTACTTCATTCTGTGAATAATAGCACATCGAATCAGATCTTTGCGGCAATTCGAACACTTTATTGTGGTACTTTTTTTTTACAAAAGCATTGAAATATAACTTTAATACAATCTTCGTTTAGTGGGTTTTCCCAAACTCGAGTTGCAATTTTCGTTTCGTAATCATAGGTAACTAAAATTTGATCATTTATAAAACTACTTTTGATTCTAATGTAGAGCTTTTGGAACATCTTGTATTTACCACAATATGATAACTATTCGAATTGAATTGTATCCGAAATTGATTGGTTATGTAAAAGTACTATATTCTAATTGAATACCTGATGCTAATTTAAGAGATATGGATATATCCGATTGTTAAACTTCAAAAATTTTAAAATACTTGTTTTATGTAATAAATGAATTAAAGTTTGATTTTCACATGTATATATAAGTAAGAATAATGACATTCGATATATCATGACATATAGCAAGTAATACAAATATAATAAATTGAAAATATTTTATATTGAAATAGTCCTCATGTATATTATCATTAGCATAATTTTAATGATAGGGGAGTTCATCATAATGGATTGCTTGCAAGATCTGTAATCAACAAAAAAATTCAAATAATAATACAATATTTAAATTTTAAATCCAAAATATTAACCATTGATCATGTTGATGAAGATTTAATAATATCAAACATTGTAACATAATTATTCTATTCTTTAAACGATAGGAATTATTTCATTTTCTTCTTTTTTTTTTGTACTGATAAAAAGCATCTTATTGAAATAAACATTTTCCTATTGATAAGTAATCATACCATATTGTCCAATAGTGAAGAGTTAACTGATGTTCATCACTAGAATAAACAAGTCCAATAGAAAAAAAATTCTTTTTTTTTAGATTACCTCAAAAACTGTTTGATGAATTAGAGTATGTATATACGTCGTCGTTCTTTTAATTCTGCAGCAATAAAAAAGATAATATAGTTTATTTTTCAAATGATTTATAATTTAATAATTTTTTAATCAATTCAACCTATAAATGAAGTCTAAAACAATAATAATCTCGTTCCAGATTGAGTATATCACCTTTGATATCTTCCAAGATTAATAATTCTATATAACGCCCTCATGTCTTACTAAAAGTTTAACAACAAATGATATATCAAGTTCATTTTATCATAATAAACCAGTCGTTTGAAGAAATTTCACAAGATAGTTAATGAGGAAGTTAGAATGGAGAAAAAAGACAGAACAGAACAACAAAACTCAACGGTATTAACCAATAAAAAAAAGGGGGCGCTACTATCAATATTTTGTTGTTGGTGACATGTTCTCCATAAGAATAAAAACTCGTTTCCATACATGGGCGATGCATCAGCACTGTGTGTTTTAGCAATGACTTGTTTGAAATAATTTGAGAAGTCAATAGGAATTTACTGTTTCGCTGAATTTCTCACACTTTATTTGTATACTAAAGTAATACTACTTATGGATATCACCCCTCTACCTCTTTCTTGGGGCTTCTGAAGAATTGCTCATCAAAAATTTTTGAAGTTTTCAAGTTAGCTAGGTCTCAATGAGCAGAGCAAAAGCTGCCATAGCCTCCAAATACCTCGATCTAAGAAATAGCTGGATCACAAAGGCTAAAAATCGTTCCATTTTCTCAACTGCAATACGTTCGATAGAGTTGAAAACTTTTTTCACAAAAAAACTAGACCCTATTTTAGGTGTCTACTATGTTTGGTTTTTTGTTTCTTTGTAAAATCTTTCAAAAACCAATGGTAGAATATTTTTCAAAACAAAAATATTAAATACTTTAAACAATGTTCAATGTCTGTAAAAGAGTTTTAGCTCGATCGAACGTACTATTTTGTCGAAACGAAAACGATTCTGCACTGTTGTTTGTCTAAAAATTGATTTCGAGAAAAACAAAATACAAATTTTTCTGTATGTATCGGGACTTTTTTTTTTCTCCAAATAAAATGATCGAAAACTAGCCATGTTCAGTGATATTAGAGATCAACAATTCATACTCTCAGCACCTTGGTACCAGAAGTAATCATTGCAGTGCAAGTTATTTGACTAGAGGTTTCAAGAATTGAAGTTAATAAAGTACAAACTAATAATGAAGAGCTCTTATTTATATGTCATTTGACAGAAGGCACTTCGAAGCTCTATTCACGATGAAAAATTGAAAAAAAAATCTATTTTTAATATCTAGAAAGAGAAGAGTAGTCTCCTCAAATTAACATATAACCTCCGACATAAGTCAAAAAATATAAGAATTTCCTCAATTTGTGAGCTCATGTGATAAAAGCAAAAGTTAACTATTTTTCTCATCACTACTCGAGAATCATCATTTATGTAATAGATTCTTTATATAAAAACCAATAATTTAGATCATATCTCAAATTAAGTAATTCAAAACATATTACCAAAAGTTGAGATTGTTTCGCACAGCATTTATGAAGTCCTTTGCCAGTTTTTTTTTTCGCTTTTACTTACATAGACAAACGCATCAAAAGTTATCATTTTCTGCTTCAACAGTTTCGAGAACGAATGTGAATAAGTAGAAAATCTTTTTCCGTACGAAACTCTTATATTTGAAATCAAAACGGATTATATCTCTTAAGCTCTGTACCTTGGATTGTGAATGTGGATTCGGAATGTTGATGTTGAATGTGAGGAGAAGAAAACAGAAAAAAGAGAATATCCATAGATGATAATATGATCTAATGTTTTATAGTCAAGTTTTTACACAAAAATAGTTCTTATCAAAATTTTATTATTATGATATTAGTTAAAAAATGATAAAATAGCAGAGAAAAATAGGACATTGTTTTCTCTATCACTACATTAAAGAGAAAATTTCTTCAAATTTTCTATAAAGAGATGAAGTAATGACATCATTACTTTTGCATTGCCTTAAGTAACAATTAAATTAGTTGGATATGCATTATTCATTCAGTATATTATATTAATTCAACTTCTTTCGCTACTTACAAAATTCCATATATAGTATTTCAATTTATAAGCATAGAAATTTTTTTTAGTATTTTCTATATTAAAATTAACACACAGTTCCATACAACATTGTTTTTTATTTAAGTTAAAATTATTACTAAAGTCTAATATGCATAAAATGGTACATTGATAGTTCAAGTCCATACTGAAAACTATAGTTTAATTAATATAACATTTAAATACATCTATCGAATATAGTATTCAACGTAATTTGTCGTGTCAAAATATCTATCAAATGCCTGCTGGTTTCAACATAAAGTTTTTACCTGCCGGGCAACCGTAATGTACAGATTCAATATTTAATTGCAATTTATCAAAGGATTATTTATTATGAATTTCGTTATAAAAATGTATTTGACCCATTGACATGATTAGAAATGAATATACTGTTTGAGATTAAAGATTATTATCTCGATAAAGTTTAAAAACTCAAACATATTGAAATATGATATGTAAAATCTAGTGGATGTGTAAGTTCATGACAAAAAAATTATAATTGCTAAGTTCAATAGATTTAACCAATCAAAATACATTTTCCCAATTAAAACACCTTGTAATTTGACTTATGCATCATTATTTAATATTGATAAAGTTATTGAAAACAATTTAATCTATTGAAATATGAGTTTATATTTCTTATAAATATCATAAAAATTTTTAGTATGATATGGATTTTATATTTTGATCTTATTTAACTCTGATACATCGATATCTACTATTACTTGCAAATATTACTTTTGCCGAATTTCTAGATTATGTATCTTAAATTTGTGATCTTCGAATCATACGAATAGATTCAGTTGTTTGTACCATCTGATGAAACTCATGATAGTGGTAAACAAGCGTCATGGTTTGCTTAATACATCCACATGTTCACTATGTCCTGATTAATTTAAAAACATATAGCTGTAAAACATATTTATTGTTGTAGAAAAAAAAACAAAATACTTGGTCATAATATAAAATACAAATATTCCTTTTTTCAGTCAAATTCAACCAATCATTCAATTTCCTTCTATTCCCATTAATTCAAAAAAGAACATATCGAATATCGATACTATTTGTAAAAAAAAACAAACGAAATCACTCATTGTTGTAACAATGTGTCTAATGTTATATGTCAATGATGTTTCTTATTAGAAAGTCATAAAATTGCTATTCCAATGTCAATTACATAGATTTCAAACTCATCGGTCAAACGTATATATGTCGCAGTAGAAATGAAAATTTCATTTTCTATCAGGGAAAATTCCAACAGTACGTAGTTTTAAATTGCACCACTACGAATTAAAATTTTATATTCTACTAGAAACTTACATTATGGAAATGTTTTAATTTCTACTATAGTAGAAATTTAAATATCCGTTTATATTAATGATGATTAACAGAAGCACATACATTATTTATTCATAACATAGAGAGCAACATAAGAAATTATTTAATGCATAAAAAAGTTTATATCTATTTACTTTATACAACATTTCTTTTTAGCAGTATGACATTTTCTAACACACGATACTTTAATCGCTTTGCATGGACATTTTTTTTTTGTAGCACAACTATCATTATAAGCACAGGCTCCTACAACTGGCTTAACCATGCGATATATTAACATGATCTTTATAAATTTGAATAAATATGTGTATTGGTAATGTTTGAGAATCAATAGCATTTAATTCCGAAAAATTCATTTTTCTTAAATCAGGATGGGGATATAGATGAGGATGAATCTCGATGTGAAGTGTGGTCTTTTCTGTACTAACACCCAAATCTCACAACCTCATCTACACTCACGTCTCATTTTTTGTTTCTTTTCTTTCGAGATATCATTATCAATATAAATGAATATTTAAATATCTACTACAGTAGAAATTAAAACATTTCCATAATGTAAGTTTCTAGTAGAATATAAAATTTCAATTCGTAGTGATGCAATTTAAAACTACGTACTGTTGGAATTTTCCCTGATCGAAAATGAAATTTTCATTTCTACTGCGACATATATTTGTTTTTGTTCGGTATACATATTTTTCTCATTCGTTCTGTATATATATTATTTTTTCCTTCCGCTTTGTTAAACAAATATTTCGATCGTTGCAGGTGCTTGGCACATCACCCTCCTTTCAGTAGAAAGTATGAAGGTAAAAAAATGGAGGAGGCACGTGTTTATGTTCTCTCCTTCCCAATTTCGATAGTAATATGCGCACAACAGATGTTATCGTAATAATTATGAGATACGGATGAATGCTTCACCTACATGAGGCAAGCGAGTATTATATTTTTTTCTATCACAAGTAAAGTATCATAAAATTTTCAATATTCGTACATGGCGCTTACTTTACATCAACGACAAAATCCACGCTATTTACTAACCTCTACACATGAATCGAAGCAAATGCTTGAGCCTATACGGGGGTATGCTGATGAACCGCTGGTTTCTTTGAGGAAAGCTTGCGAACCACTACTTCCTATTGTTTACCATCTGTCATTTTATGTGTCTCGCGCGAAAAAGAGCTCAACAAATTCTGCCGATGGTTTGACTCGAGACGAGTCAGCTGCTATTCGTCTCTACACCATGGAATGGGACGAGGATGACGATAATACGAATGGAAGTCTTTATTATCATCTAAATGAAACATTAAGAAAGCCGGATCGAAGTAAACTACGACCATGGTACCGCTACTTGAAATTGTTTCTAACGGCTTTGGCCAAACTACCACTTGAGTCAAATCAAATTGTCTGGCGGGGCATACACAACGATCAGAGTGGTGAATATCCTAAGGGTACCAAATTTGAATGGTGGGGTTTTTCATCGTGCACAGCATCATTAGATATTCTGGAGTCTGATCTATACTTAGGCAAAGTCGGTAAGAGGACTCTGTTTTCAATCCAAACACTCAATGGACGACGAGTGCACAATCATTCGCATTATCCATCTGAAGATGAAATATTGCTATTGCCAGGAACCTATTTCGAAGTTTTGTCACAGTTAAATCCGGCACAAGATCTCTGCATTGTCCATTTGAAACAGCAAATACCGCCATATGAGCTGCTCGAATCACCTTTCGAAGGTAAAAATGTGTAGATGTTCAGCCGTCAGAATACAAGAACGATTGTTTCTTGACTCTTAGATATTGGCAAAAGAGCACATATTTCAATTAGGAATGACACTTTAATTTTATTTTAGATTACGTTTTTAATCTCGAGTGCTATTCAAAGAAATTTCATACGCTGATTCGATTATTTCCTTGCTAAGTTCTAGATATTGACTTATGCTACAACTTTTCTTGCAAGATTGCTTCTTCATTAGGTTCTTGAATAGCGCTAGGGAGCTTACATAAATAAGTTACTATTATCTATTGGGTGAGTATTTTTTTTTTTGAATAATTTTTGATAGAAGAAAGATAGAAGTCTGCGATTTTCACTATTTAAAAGATGAGATGAAACTGCATTGAATAGTATAGATCAGATTTTTCTTAGAATCTATCACAAAGTTTATTAAAAATAAAACGTCGTGTAATGCAAAGGCTTTAAAATTTAAATTTTCAGGAGTGCACTAGCGTCATTAACTAAAGATTTATAAATTGTGTAAGTTCGATCTTGTAAAATTTAGCCAATAATGAATTATAAACATTTTCCTACGTGTTGTCGGCAGATTTTTCACAAAAAAACTTCTAAGGAAACAACTTGAAAAAGCTCACTAGAAAAATCGTGTATAAATGATTCGATGTATTTTCATCTCCTCTTTTAAACGGCGAAAATTGCAGAGCTCTATTTTATTTCTATCAAAAATTATTTCAAAAATACTCACCTTTCTTTTACTTTAAAATGGATAATAGTTACTTTTGCTCAATATCGAGTAACTTGTTGATTTGCATATTATAGCCCTGTTCAAGAACATAGTCGAGAAGTGACCTTGTAAGCAAAGTTGCAGTGTAAGTCGATATCTAGAATTTAGCAAGAAAATAGTCTGATTAGAATATCATCAAAAAAATACTCGAGTTTGAAGAATAACTTTCATTGAATGTGTCACCTCTAGTTCCAGTATCTTTTTTTTAAAATTTATACACCGTATTTTGATCGTCATTTGAAGGTGCACAATTGCTTCCATCGTTGAATGAATCCAGTTCGAGCACGGTAGGTATATATGAATCGAGTTGCCATAAAATTATCTATTTCTCCATATAGACGGTGAACATGGAACCGTGCGTATCCGAGTCAAGTCTTGTGAATGAGCCGATCACTAACAAAAACCGGTAGGTGGCTGCAAGTTTGATTCGAATAGAATCCTTACATTTGAAGGCGAAAGATAGTGTATCAAAAAGATAAGAAATCAGACAGTTCATAAATGGGGATACATTGATCTCTAGTATAGAGAGAGCGACTGCGACCAAAAAGAATGAATATGAAACCGACATAGATCTCAAATACAGAATCTGTCTTTGAGCGCAGAACGAGTCATTACATCAAAGACCGATAAAATAAAGCATGTACATGATCGATTGAAGAATGACTGAATCACGTTTTTCTCATTTGGTGTCTTTAATATGTTACTAAAACCAAGCTGAACATAGCTGAGGTTTTGAGAATTCACAAAAGTCCAATGACCCTATAATAGCTTGAAAGTTTTATTAGATGTGAACCTTTCATGATAATTTAATAGCTGAAATTTAGGTTCTTGACGGAATCATAAAAAAAGAGATCATGAGTGTTTGCACCTTGCAAAGAATTAAAAAACTTAACTCAACTACAAGTTCTATGAAAATTTTTTATAGAAAACTTGTAGATAAGATAGCAGGCAATAGATTGAAGAAAAGAAATTAGATCTCTTTGCATCAGTAAAGAGCTCGTTCAATGTACTTTTACATTATTCAGGGCATGGCGAAATTAAAAGCCATCCCTGGACTAAATACAATAAAACAAATATTCTATAATTGTTTTATCTGTATATCCCATTCGAAAGATGAATGTATGTGAAACGCTCACCTATGACTGTGTAGTCGTTTTTTTTGTTCAAGACATGCACAGAGATCGATAGAAAGTCAAAAGTACTGTGGCATAGATAAAAGCCCCGTTTCCTTTTTTTTGTTCTTTTGTTCTTCCGATTTTGCTCGGGGAATTTTTTTCTGTTCATCCTCTATCGATATAGTATACTCTATTTGATGTCGATAAAGTCTATCCTATTTCGTATGATATAGACATATCCCAACATGATAAAACTCTATAGATGTTAAGTTCTCAATCTTCATGGAGTTACTAGAGAATTCATTTCTTTATATTGTATATAAAGTATTACTGCTATTTTAAATCGATTTACAGGATCGGAGGACAGTAGACTACGAAGTAAGATTAAAATTATATTTGTGAGAAGAGGTAATTTTCACATTTAAACTGAATTATTTGCAAAACAAATCTCATAGACACCTAGTGTATAGACTGTAAATGTTAACCTGCTCAAGAACGACGCATATAGGAAAATAAAACTACTCATGGGATCAAAACTTTAGTACACAATGTCAATGCATTTTTGAGCTGATGCATATTTTTCATAGTTATTGGTACACTCAGAAACGATTATTGATTGGTCTCGGTATAGCAGCAGCAATCATCATTGTGACGATCATCTTGGCGACAGTTTTGGGTATCCAAAGCAAAAGTGGGAATTCGTATTCTACTACACCTCCAGGTAAGCGGTGTCATCATATACTTGATATGAAGATCAGAATTCCCAACTCCACAGATGAATAAGCGGAAAGCTTTTTTGCACCGCTACTCACAGTTAAAATAGTTTAAATATAATGTTGTTCTTCAATAAATTTCATTTCTAAGAATGACGATAACAGACAGCTGAAGTGAGCAGTCACTGTCTGCTTGATATTGAAAGACATGTTATCATGATTTGAAGTGCAAGAAATTCTAAAACAAGAAATTTTTGTTATACGAAAATCAGAAAAAAAGTGGAATAGCAGAAAAAGGGCAGAAAAATAGCAACTCGGAAGACGATAAACAGAATTTTTGGCGTTTTCAGAGAATACATCCATACTCTTTACTTCATTGCTATATTTTTTTTAGATCCAATGTGTCGTCTTACATTTGCACCAATGTCATCATATCCAACTGACTATTATCCTCCTGACTCGATTGCCATTGGATATTTAAACAACGACACTCAGCTGGATGTTGCCGTCGCCCTTCATCGGGGTAACAGTACGGGTGTTTTTCTTGGAAATGGAAATGGAACACTTGCAGCGCAAACGAAGTTTCTAGCCGGCAGTAATCCATGGAGGGTCACCGTGGTGGATTTCAACAACGACAATCAATTGGATATCGCTGTCGCCAATGGTGCCGAAAACAATGTGGGTGTTCTTCTTGGGTATGGTAATGGGTCATTTGCAGCACAAACAATGCTTTCGACTGGCAAGGATCCATGGGCGATTGCTGTCGGAGATTTCAACAACGACTATCAAGTGGATATCGCTGTCGTTAATCATGCCAGTAACAATATGGGTATCTTTTTGGGATATGGCAATGGAAGTTTTACAGATCAAACAACGTTTCCAACTGGCACTAATCCATACTCGGTCGCCGTCGGCGATTTCAACAACGACAATCGACAGGATGTCGCTGTCGTGAATTATGGCAGTAACAATATTGGTGTCTTTCTTGGGTATGGTGGTGGAAATTTTGCTGCTCAAACAACGTTTCCAACTGGCACTAATCCGAACTGGATTGCCGTCGGTGATTTGAACTATGACAGTCAACTGGATATCGTTGTCACCAACGGACCCGATAACACTATGAGCGTCCTTTTTGGGTATGGTAATGGAACTTTCGCAGCTCAGAAAACGTTTTCAACCGGCAAGAATCCGCAGTCGGTCACCATCAGTGATTTGAACAACGATAATCGATTAGATATCATTGTCGTGAATTATGGCAGTGCTACTGTAAGTATCTTTCTTGGGCATGGTAATGGAAGTTTTGCAGCTGAAATGACATTTTCAACTGGCAATAATCCGAACACGATCGCAGTCGGTGATTTGAACAACGACAAACTACTAGATATCGCTGTCGCCAATCATGGCGATAACACTGTGGGTATTCTTTTGAGCACTTGTCATTGTTGTACTCCTTAACTTGAGCTCACTTTATTTTACTAGTTGCTCCGATTTCTCACTCATTGTATTTAATATTTGATAAAACTGCTATTATTTATATCGCTTCCCGGTATTTCATATTCAGAATATAATAGACTGTTTGATTCTTTTGGATGTTATACCACGATCGTATCAAGAATGATGAGAAGGCAAGAACATTAGTTGTGAAATCAAGAGTAAGTCGTCTACACAGAATATTCAATTGCTTACAATGATGCTTATTGATTGAACAGAAGAATGATTAGTTAGTTTTAAAAGAATTTATTTTCTGCCTTTGTCGTTCTACTATATATCAGACTATCTGATCATATACAAGCGCTTACAGGAAGAGTGTACTACGTAGTTAGTAGCAACAGAAAAGACAATCTAGACAGCACAGAGCCAATGTTAACTCTGCTTTGTGGAATACACTATGAGTGTGGCCATAGATGAATCATCTCAATAGACACAATCAAATCTACCACAGATACAAATAACCGTCTAATAATGCTAGTGTTCGAATGCATTCGATTGGCTGTTGCTTCGCCGTGTCAATAACGACTTTTCGGATAGTCTTTATGAAAATCATGTGAAAAATAGCGATTACTCGATGATTGAACTATTGCGATATCAATGCCAAATAGTATTATGATCATAGTAATATATTAGTTATCCACAATCGGATAATCGCATGAATGAATGTGTTGATGGAATTGATGAGGGCATGAGTGTGAGTGTGTAAGTATTACGTTCTCTTCCACTCATACCCAAAAGAACACAATTAAATGTTAATCATATGCTAATGACGCCTGCATAAATACTTTTTCTAACAGATACATTTCAATAATTTTAGCTTTCTACTTTCAAATTTTTCGATATTTTTACTTTTCGACATATTCATCCTTCCATGTTTTTCCTTCTGACATTATTATTTCTACTATAGTTTAGAGAATTGTTTTTCGGACCCGAATCATATTCCTAATTTCAACTAAATTTTTTAGTCTGACTCTAATTTTTCTATTAAAACATTCTAGACGTTGCTCAGACATATTTGACCATGATCTTATAATGATCAAGCTATAATTTGTTGTTTCTTTTAGAGTATGATGCAATATACTTTAGCAAGAGAGAAGAGAAGACCTACACTCACACATTCTGAAGATTCTTTTTTGAACTAGCAAAACAGATTATGTATCGATTATACGTGTAATTATTCTTGCTGTCCGGAGGCATACGTTAGATTTTGTTTTCGGATATTAAGTTTCGAACGTTATGATGTTTATTTACAAAAGTCAAAATACTAAGATCAATTGTCAACTTGATTATCCAGAGATAAGAGACGCAATTGGACTCTCCTCATTGAGCTCATTAAAATTCACTAATTTTTGTCGAATTGCTTGTCGATCTTTTATTCTGTTTGAAATTGGATCAAATCTGCAAGTTTTGTACATCATTCTATAGCGCAAATCTGCTTTACACAATCCTATTTAGAACCTGGTTGAGCCATCGCTAGATTTGTTGTCACTATTCAAAAAAGTTTTTCAGGCTTTTAGATAAAAAAGCAGTTATGGTAAGTACGTCTGAGTAAAATAGGGGAGATTGTGGGTGTCGGTTCAGGAGCACAAACAAGAACCAGAATTTTTTACTGTTTCAACGCAATTATTTTTTTCTTAAGTGCATTTTTTTTACACTATAATTAGCGCAAGAGTGTTGAAACTGTTTTTATCATGAACTTCTACCGCAAAATAGTTACAATATTGACTTAGATGTTCCGACTGATATGTTACTGACGTCAGATACATTGTTGCTTTATTGTGCGAAGGAAATCATTGAATTCTTGCAACAGTGACACAACATTCAAACTTAATCTATTGAGTTTCAAAAAAATTCTTCAAACAAAAACGGTGCACAGAGATGCCTTTGTCGAATAGAAAGAAAAGACTATTTTGACAAAGGAGAGAGAAGTCTATAAATTAAAAATATTCAACGAAACATTAAACATCATGTCTTTGTTATACTGCCAACAATCCGAACATACGCGTCTGGATTCGTTATACCTTCGGTTGAGATGATCAAGATGCTACTATTGTGATCGATGCCAAGTTTTTGACTTATCGTATCTGTCTCATTCGTCTCGGTCAGTACAGCCAGGAGGCCACCAAGGCCTGCCGCTCCGGACTCTCCCGATATTACTTCATCCTGAGCGAGTAGACGCATGGCTTCCTCTGCAACACTGTCATCGATGGCCACTGATCCACTCAGACCATTGCGCAAGAAGGGCCAGGCAAGTGGAGATGGCTTGCCACAATTGAGGCCAGCCATTATCGATATATGTGGACCTGGCACTTCCTTGAGTTCATCTGCTTCTAATGAACGAAGTACACATGCAGCATGTGTCGGTTCGACACCGAGAATGTGTGTTGTATGGTTAGATGAACGATAGTGATGAACAACTGATGCAGCAAGAGTACCGACGCCCATCTGTACTGCTACTAAATGTGGCTGTTCTGCTCCGAGTGTTCTAAGTTGTTCATCGACTTCTCGAAATATCGTTCCATATCCTTCGACAATCCAAGTAGGCACTCGCTCGTAGCCTTCCCATGCTGTATCACTGATGACTATATAGTCGTCTCCTGAAATTTGAGCTAATTTAGCCACCGCATCATCATATGTTCCATTAACAATTTCGATGTGTGCTCCTTCGCTCTTAATTGCTTCTCTCCGAGCATGTACCATATCATCTGGTACGAACACGTGTGCCTTGAATCCAAGCCATCGGGCCATGCGTGCGACAGCTCGGCCATGATTTCCATCAGTAGCGGTGACTAGAGTGATGTCCAGTTCTTTCAATTGCTCTCTCAATTCATCGAGCTTAGACCATGGTTGAAAAGGACCGAAACGAGTTTCCAACTCGCGATATGTAGCCCATGATGCACCGAGAATTTTATAAGCTGGTAATCCGAACCGGCTGGACTCATCTTTTACCCAGACATGACGAACGCCCAGACGCTTAGCTGCGAACGGAGCTTCCACAAGACGACTTGGGATATAGCACGGAAGTTTCTGATGGAATTCGAGAACGCCAGCAGTTGATGATATATCAAATGAAAGAACGTTCGGGTTAAAATACGCATGCGAAGTATGTAGAACACGAGCCATGATGACCACAGATACAGAGATCTGAAATTAGATACTTTAAGTGCTGGATGATGTCTTTCTGAAAAATAAAAGAGTAGCTAGAACTTTTCAGAAATTTTTATAGCGAATATTTTTCATTCATTTGAAAATATTTTTCTTCATTTGCAGCGTCATGGTTGTTTTTAGCGCCTCAGTTAGAATAAAACCTCGTCTTCTATCGAGCTAGAACAACGTTAGAAGTGGTTTTTATCAGACGGATAGTTGCAAACGAAAACTGTTCTTGAAGTGCTAAAACAAACATTTTACGAACCCTATCAAAAGTATTGTTCTGTCCCAGACTAATAGGTTTTCTTAAAATTTCTTTTCGTTTAGTTATTATAATGAAACATACTTTAAATTGATCTCTACAAGGCACAGTTAAGACTTGCTGGAACAATTTATTTGAGTCGAATTTTTTATTCTAACTTGAGAAAAAAGAGATTCTTACTAGAAAGTTTGAAGCAATGGGAAGCTGTTTATGAAGAACTTCATTGTATCGAAAACTAAAAGCTCCAATTTCTAGTCAAATATTTTCCAAAGATTATTGTGGCAATTCTTTTTTCTTTCAGAATAGAAGGTTCAAATTGATTTATGAATAAATGCAGCCGTACGTTACCTTGTTCTTTCTTAAAACAAGAACAAAGATATAGTTCGCCACTAGGTGAGACTGCCTAGATGACGAGAAGAGAGAATACAGACCGCTATCCCTGCTTGCACTATCAGCAAGAAGAAGAGAGAAATATAGATAACGATGTCACGAAGAATAGCCAAACAAAAAAAAGTTATACTCGTCAGTGAATATGCAAAATAGAGCTGAGAAGTGTAATAGTACAATTTAATACTCATGTAGAAAACGAATCGATGTGATGCATCTGAAGGCGAACTTTCGTCAATAACAAGTTGTATCGTCGTGAGAATTATGTGACAACTTTCAATTTAGCTTCTAATCTTATTATTCGCATCGATATCATACAGATCAATCAAAAACAGACCAACCTATTTTGCAAGAATAGACAAGCTCAATCTGCTAATCTAAATTCTTGCTTTTTAGCAGTCAACTAAGTCAAAAATAATATAACAGTGAAATGATCAATGAGTGTATTTTGGTTAAAACAATTAAACAAATATAAAGTTTATTTGTCGACACATTTCGTGTTATTTATCAAAATATAAGCATTCATTAGAGCTCCACATTCCAAACTTAAGCACAAACAATGAAAATATCTATTCATAGGAAAACAAAGACGAAAATAAAAAGAAAAGAAACTCATCGATATAACAACAATAGAAACAAAGTGAAAATAAGGTTGATCTAAAAAAATACACTTGTTAGCGTAGCCCCTGAGGAATTCAATTGTAGAAGTCACATGATTTCTTCCCATGTCGTTCGAACTGACGAAAAACCGTCGGTTTCTATTTTATGAATGAATACTTACAAGTGGATCAGCTGTTGGACTACATCTAAATGCAATACACTAATTTGAATGTGGATATGGGTATGGGTGTGAGTGAAGAGAAGACTTACGCCCACACGTCAGTGTTGCAACTGGTATCCGGGTCAGTTGAAATGGTTGGACCGGTTGAAAAATATTTCATAAATATGGTTTTTTTTTTTGTCTGATAAAACTGGATGAGAGCAAGTTTGCGTGTTCTTATCAAAATAATCAGGCCAGTGTTGTTTCAAAATTTGTTGTCTTTTCTTCTGTTTGCCCATACTGTTTCATTTCTTTAACCGAGATATATTTCATTTTTTAGAAAATATAATCAAATTTGTGTGACTTGAGGTAAACTTATTTCATAGATGTTTTTTTGGAGATTAAATTTAGGCTTGTATCATCGTTGGAAGATAAAAGTTAGACTTGCCTAAAAAGGTTGAGTGAGAAAATTCTGAGTGTGACAATCAGTTGATAAGTAAATGAATGTTTTTTTCGCATCATATATATAAATATCTCACATATTCATTTTTGAACAGCTAAACAAATATAAACAACCAGAATATGAGATTTTGTTATCGACAGCTTTATAAGTGAATTGTGAACTAGGTTCATTGTATTAGAAGTATTCTAGAAAAGACATGTGTAACAAACTGTAGATTTTAAGAACTAAATTTGCTCCTTATATCAGTATTATGACCTGCAAAAACTTTGTAAGCTCGCCAGTTTTTATTGGTCTGGAAATATTTTTTAGATAAATCTAACTAGGCAGGTCTAAAATTTCTAGACCGGCTATAACTCTGTTACACCCACACCGGTCCTCTTGAACTTTGTCATCCTCAATTTTGTTTTTATTTTCGTATGTAAAACTTGTTGTATTGGATTATCTGTCTTCAATAGTGTTGATCATTTAGTATATTATAGTTATTAATCTACGACTATTTTGATATTTTTACGAAAAATATGATTAAAAAAATTTTATTATTCAGTCCTCCATTCAATGGACACCTGAATGTACTAAGAGATTTAATTTTGAAATATGAAAATTATTTTAATTTTCATCTTATTATCACCGGATGGAAAAATACTCAACCTGATTTAAAAGGAATTAATATTCAATCTAGTATCGTTGCATACTCTGATTTGTATGAAACTGATCCAGCAATTTGGACTTTACCACGAATTGTTGACTTAATAGATGGTTGTCTAGATATAGCAAAACAATTTAAACCAGATTTAATAATTTATGATTTTTTTTCATTAGAAGGAAATTTTGTAGGAAAAATTTTGAAAATTCCATATTATTGTTCTATTCCTGCTTTACTTGGTCCATTTACGCATCAGGAATATCTTAAAAGAAAATTACTCTTACCAATCAATATTAAAGCTATTACTTGTTTACAAGAAAAGTTTCCAGGAATTTTAGACACAGACGATTTTGAAATGATTTCTGATGGACTACATATTACAGGACAGCAAAATCTTGTCTGGTCATATCCATCACTCACTCCAAAAGACTTTATGCTTAATCGTAAACAAACGTCGTATATTTTCGTACATCATTTACATAAAGTACTATCCAATAATAACTTCATAGATATAAAAAAGCCACTCATTTATTTTTCGTTTGGTACTGCTGTGATGGGTAATCTCTGGAATCAACAACTTGATGTTAGAGAAAAATTAAAATTATTTATTCATACACTAACTAAATTATGGGAAAATAAAAATTTTAACATTATTTTTGTTAATCTTGGAAAAGAAATTGGCAATGAATATCCTCCAAATTGGCAAGTAGTACAGTATGCTGATCAAATCGATGTACTATCGCGAGCCTCTGTATTTATTACCCATGCTGGAGGTAATAGTTTTCATGAAGCAGTTATTGCACAGGTACCAATGGTAGCTATTCCATTCTTTGGAGATCAACTATTGATTGCACATCAAATAGAGAAATTAGGTTTGGGAATCAATCTTATAGCAGATAACGAAATCGATACAAAAAAACCAAAGAATTTTCTTAATGAATTGTTAGCTGAAAAAGTTGTTATGGCAGTTGATAAAATTCTCAATGAAAACACTGACTATCAAAAGAGATTTACTCAATTATCATTAGAAGCTGACAATATACTAGATCTACTCAATAACGATCCTAGATAGACCGAAACTAATTCTATCTACTAATAAAACGTTTTTTTTTTGCTAGATATCTGGTGGTGAGTGAGCATCAGTCTCAGAGTCTCCCGCTTTTCAATAAATTATGGAATCAACGATAGTAGTATTAGAATTTATGAATCTTTCTTCTTCTACTATTTCTTTGGGAAATTTAATCTCATCAGATATACCCACAAAATGTTGACTATCCGGAGTCAATACTATTGTAATAGAGAGATTAATAAAGAATATGGACGCATAAGCGCCGTTTTTGAGCCATTCTCAATTTTCCTTCATTCATGATTTACCTAATGCAGAATTTCATGACGAACCGTTTATTAACAAAATAATGCAATTGCTCAAGAGTCAGGCTCCAAATTAACATGAGGATGTGGATGTGGCCGTTGCGTATTTTGATATGGTTGTAGATCTAATTTTCGTCCACATCTACACTCTCCACAACCGATCACGATTTTGTAAATTAATAAATTTGCAAACCACTAAATCCAACTATCAACATCTTTGACCTTTGTTCTCGTTTCATGATCTTACTTGATGATTAATTTGATGCTATTACACTGAGTTCGCTGACGAAGGAAGTTGCTAAAATCGTAAATCAACTCCGATGATCATATTAATTAAAGATGCAACGCGTTTTTTTAGCTCAGTACACCAAACATATGCAATATTTTTCCATATGATCTCATAGTAACATAATGAATAACACGTAGAAAGCTGAGCATGTGAATGAGGATGTAGGAGTGCAAGATAAGGCTAAATGGAATTCTCTCACACTCCTTAATATCCGCTACTCTTGTTTCGATTTATTGAGATATATCCACGAACGTCAATATTCATCAATCTATGTGTATCCATTATAAGCAAGACTACTTTTGTAAATGACTTGAAAACAGAAAAAATATCACTTTTGAAATTTATCATTGAACTCGAATCTAAATTCAAACCTGTATTCATAATAATCTTTTATCTATTTATTATTGAACAATTCAGTGTGATGATATAGATTTATATCAAACAAAAAACAAAAAGTTTAGACTATTCTTTACGGGTCATCTTGGCAAAACATATCATGCTACAAATGTATTGCTGAAAAATCAACGTACAAACTACATCAGTTCATGATATTTTTTATTAAATGAAGGAAATTCTCTAAAAAAAAAAAAACTATAATTCTTGATTAGAAAAAAATAAATAAGAAATCATATTTTCAATACTACACAAAGCAAACAATCTATATTATGTATTCATGCAATGAAAGTAATTTATAATTATTGTTCACTATGAGAACGCATCAGAGGTTGTGTTTGATGATTTAATGAAGATGTCAAAGGTTCTTGTTCTTGATTTGAAGATAATGTTGTAGCCATTGTTTCATTGTATAATCTTACACCAACCAATAAACAACATAATACAATTGGACCTATTAAAGCTCCTTCAATTCCTCGATAATAAACACCTCCAGCAATAGCCAATGCTGTTAAATACTATATACAAAAAAAAGTGAAAGCATACTTTAGATTTGCAAAACAAAAAACATAATCTTTATCGAATATTACTTGATGTCCACCTCCTTTAACTTCACTATAAATAGCTGTATCAACAACATAGGTTGGTGCAATTTGACCAAGTAATAAAATTAAAGCAGCTAATGGTCGTTGTTGTACAAGCCATACATCAAGACAACCAGGTAATGCTGCCCAATAAGATTTTAAAGTAACAGCACATATTGATGCAATGACAGCTGGTAAAAAAACAAGATTTGAACCAACGATTGTATGTAATACATAGGTATAAAGACCATAAAAAGCCGCAATTTTCAATGAAGCAACAAAAACACTTGTAACTGCATCATTAACTGCTTTACCTAAACCTTTTCCACCAACAGATATTGTATTATTTAACCATTCAGTAGGTCGATATGTAGGTTCATCCGAATGCGAAAGAAGATAAAAAAGTAAAGTAACAAAAACAATAAATGAAACAAGAAAATTAAGTAATGCAAAACCTCCAGTAAAAAGTAAAGAAATAATTGTTGATAATAATGTTAAAAGAAGTGTTGTATTTTTCCAAACAGAATCAAGAACATTACGTAAAAAATCTAAATTATTATGAACTAAAACATATAAATCACTTAAATGAAAATCAAAATTTGGTATTCGTAATGAATGATCTTTTGGTGAATATATTGTTGTACTACGATTTTTATCTGGTAATAATAATGTTGATGTATTAGACATATATTCATAGAAATGATCCCATAATTGTAAAACATCTTTTTCTAATTTTTCATTCGATAAACTATCTGGACTTAATGTATTTACCTAAAAGAATAAAAATAATATATCCCCCTGGAAAAAAATAGTGTCACACAATATTCTTAATATATCATCATTATAAATTAACATTTTGAGTAACGTAATTATATATTCGGGTAGTCCATGAAATTCTCTACAAATCTACAGTCGAGGACAAAAGTTTAAGCGATCTGCATTTGTCCTTTCTCTTGTTCTGCGTCTATCTCAGTCCAAGTAAGTCGAAACCATTTTCGTTCACCCACCATCTTGTAAAGTTTTCGACGCTCTTTCCAGCGGTGGGTGAATTAAGGAGATTTGAGTTAATGGAGCGGAGTTATTGCCGTTTTCGGTGTTTTTTGGGCCTCTATGTATAATGCGAATAACTCCGCCGTCTTAAGTGGAAAGTCCGATCTTTTTTCACNTATATTGATGTCACAAAAATTGAAGCGTGAAACCTGTTCATTGTTTTCAGATAGCATAAAAGTACCTGTCTTGATTCTACACTTCTAGCTCTACTTAAATTTCATGTCAATTATGAAAAAATTACAGCAAATTTTTTTGTGATGGTAAATAAATATTTATTTTATGAGCTTTTATATCATCGTCATGGATTTGTTACCTTTGTTTTTCTTTCGATTCTAAAATTTTCTAGTAAAATTCTTCAGTCTTGGTAAAATACATTATCTGATGTAAAAATTCGTAGAAAGTTAATATGTTAGAAATTACTCAAAGATTTTTCGGTATCATTGGCTAAAGCACATCTGATTATTTATCAATTGTTTGAAAAACTGATAGCACAAATGAGCAAATTGTATACTTATAAATAATGTCCCTACATCCATACTTGGAGTCGTTTGGTTTATGACTATTCGAAAGAGTCAAGTGGCGGTGTCAGTGTATGTACAAATCGATGAATCAGTTTATAAAAGTTACAGTAAAATGTCCCCTTTCTAGATATTTAATATTGGAAGACAACTAATTTAAGCTTCAGATAATATCCAATAAAGGAAGTCTCTGCATTGAATTGAACAAGATACCATGTTGATATTGTTTTGTTTAAAAGAGAAAGATTGTCTATCATAAAAAGAAAATGACTACTTTTAGACAAGTTTATTATAAAGTGGTAAACATGTACCTTATTTGACAAATTGGCTTTTTACATAGACTAATGTGCTCCGTTTCGCTCTTTCTTGTGGTCAAAATTGCATGTCACTAGTGATTTAAATTGTGTAGGACTATGGAAACACTAACGGAACACATTATATAGGTATATCTTCTTTTTTCTACATAAGACTTTCTACTAATTATCTGTTTGTTTCGATTAATTTACATCATCAAATTATTAGATGTAAGAGATATTTCGATTCCTAGTTATATTAACATCTCGGTATTTTGATTTAGTTCAATTGATAATAATTTGAAATGCAGGATGACCAAAAACTAGAGTTACATTGTCATATATTAAACTAGATGCATAGGGTATAGTTGTGAGTAAAAAGAAGAATATCACATCTACCTACACTCACATCGATACCCTGTTTCGGTATACAACTCATGGATTAACTCTTTATACATCACTACGACTTACACAAAGATCTTCTGAAAGCGAAGTCTATGTAAATAGAAAGTTCGGCATGTATGTGGAAGTTATAGAAGCATCATCAAATAATTTCACATAGATTCGAGACAAGAGAACAAATCTCACTTGTTGTACTGTCAATTTACCATGAAATATTATGTTCTTAAAGAAAGTGTATGTAATGCATCAATGGTACAAAGCGCAAATGTCAGTCTAGCCAATCGAAAAATTGTTCTTGATTTTTGAAAATGATGTCAAATCTTAATGGATGCGACCATTGATTAGTTGCATGATTACATAAAGCAGCAAGATGATATGACAAGGAAAAATAGCAGTAGCACAACAGAAATCTCTTCTTCGTTTAATTTTAAATCTGTGTCATTTGAAAAAAATGAATGAAATGCTCGAAAAGAAAAAAAATTAGTAAAAGAGACAACCAATTTGAATTGTATTACATTGACAAAGCTGTAGAGTATGGTCTCGAAAATTTTCATTTCTCTTCAAGCATGCACTCTGAAATGAATACTGTATAATTGAAAATAATGAAGTTGAGTGTAGAAATTATTATGTAAGGCAGACTACTGCAACTTATTTAAAAGAAGATAACTTAACAGTTTTTAACCTTCTAATAAATCTCCAAAACCATTATTTTATTTTAGAAAATCTTTCCATCGCATAGAGGATGCCTTTTCCTAATGATTTGACACTATTTCTATTAAGTCTATGGTTTCAATGAGTGACACAATAATTATGAAAGTTTTCTGTGAAATTTCCCAGTGAAAACTTTCCGATCAGACATGTAACAAAAATAGTAACATTTTTGTGTGTTAAAATTGGCACGACAACTTCATTTCATTCGGTCTTTGTCTTTCTGAATCGAAAAGTCTATTTACCGTAAGTGATAAAATATGTTGTCACTTTTGATGTGTCTTTTACTGAATGAAAATAGCCACATCAAGTTATTTTTATTATGTAATTTGTCTAAAGCGTTGCATCATAAGCCTCAGTCTTCGATAATAGAACTTTAGTCTGCATTTCACACTTCTTCGATGATACTTCCGTCGTACAATAGTTTAACCATAAGTCGAAGATTTCGCATAATATTCTTTGGAAAATAGTATAGAAATTGTATATGCACCAGTTTTGATATCATGAACGAAGTCTGTAGGTCATTTTCTTTTACTGTAGGACAAAGGATAAAATTGAAGGCTTATCCAGCTTATTTCAGCCTGCATGAAACCAGCACTCAGATCTATTTTAAGGAGAGACACTTCTCAGAAACTCTCCAAAAGATTGAACCGAAATGTTTGCCTTATCATGTCGCTTCGCTACAGATTTTCGATTTCAACCACTTCGTTGTGATTAAGACCAAAGTCATTGTATTAAATAACAATTCAATGATTATCTCGAAAAAAAAGTTTTTTTTTTAAAATCCCAGTGCTACTATTAGAGGCTGAATAGATCAAAAGAATCTTTTGTTTTTATTTTTGTTGCAATGGTGACAGTGCATCGCCCTATCGTTGTTCGACTAACAGCTCACCGTCACCATTGCTCTCTAAAAGGATCTGATCTTTGGAAACATTTCTGACAACTAAGATGTTTTAAAAAAATTGTTTCTGATAATAAAAATAAAGTTGTCTTGTTTTTGGAATCGAGTTCCTAGTAACAAAACAAAAACTTTTGGGATAGTCCAATTTCGTTTCGAAGAACTTCTCATGTAGATCAGTTTCTTTCAAAAGAATCGTTTAACAGTTGTTTAGCACATTGGATCTGAACTTCTGAACTGAATTTGTAGTATGCCTGGTTAGAACATGTTCAGTACTATATTAAAAAGTGTCAGAAGTTATTCAAAAAAGAATTCCAACTAATTGTGACATATTATCATTAATCAACATGATATCTCACGAATTCTTTTAATATAGCACATTACTAAATTTCATAGAAAAATTTGAAATCTATAGTATCAAAATTTCTATCGTAAAACAGCTTAACGACTTGACAAATAATATCACAGCCCTTACCAACAATTCAGATACTTTTATTATGTCTTTCAAATCTGTGCTTATAAATATGAGTAAAATGATACTTGATGTTGTGCAATAATTTATGTTTTTCGTTTCTTTTATTTTCATTTGTTTACCTATTTATTGAACTGCATTATGATAATAATAATTTCAAGGTGAAACTTGTTTTTTTTTCAGAAAAAGAACGAAAAGAAAGCTTTCATCACATTACTTTCATCAAGTTGGTTTCGATTTCGTCACAACAATATCACGAGAAAGTAAGTACATGCTAATAAAGTCTGCTGTATTATTTTCGAATTAAGAATTGTTATAAAATAATTGATTAAACTTAAGTTTTTGAGAATATATTGAGTCCATATGTGTAAAATTGAGACATATTTGTATTAGAAATAATGAAAATAAGTAATATTCCATTTGTCAGATTCTTTTATGGGGAATTATTTAATTTCAATCATGCTAATTAGATATCGCGTTGTTTTTCTTCAATGTGATGAAATATTGCTAAAACTTATGTGAGTTCTGTAATTCTCTTTCATTGGAACTATTGATGCTTACGAATATGCTCTTGCCCTTTCCACTATAATACAGTATTTTGCAAACACATTGGAATTAGCAGACCGGTTTCAATTTTTTAATTGTCAATCGACATTTTTTCTGCCAATCAATAATTTTTGTTTTGCTTTATACAAACAATTTTCAGGAAGTAAAAATATAATAATATCACCAATAAAATGGTTGTCTACATAGTAGCTATGGATGTACAAGATCAAACGCATAGTGAGATTGAATCTATTCTTGAACTGAAAGAAGGATTAAGTTACCATATTTTACCGCATGTTTACTCTATAATATCAACATATCATCAGATGAATAACGACGATATGACTATTAGTATTGCAATCGCGTTATTTCTCTCTCCATCAGTGACAACTGTCAAGAACTATATTGATACATTGCAAAATCATTTGGGCAGTGAATTATTTTCGAAACTAAATGTTGGGCCTATTAACAGCTGAGTTAACAAAAAAAACTGGAAATAAAACCTCTTGTATTATAAATAATCTTCCATATAATTCTACTGCAATGCTCTTAAATGCAATTTATTTCCATGATAAATGGAAAAGCAAATTTCCAGAAAGCAGTATACATTCAACAACATTTTACGCATTGAATGCTAAAGAACAAAAGTGTCAAATGATGGTGCAAAAGAACAATTTCGACTATTTTGAAGATGATATGGCGCAAATTGTGCGACTTCCCTATCAAAAATTTTTCATAAGTCCAATCGTTATTCTTCCGAAGTTATGTGAAAATTTTTTTAGCATTCGCGAACGATTAGACAAAAGCTGTTTAGTCGCACTTTTAACATATTTGCATACGACTTTTATACTGCGTTAGAATGGATCTATTTGCCTGAATTTAAAATGTCATATTATTTGCATGCACAAAAAATGTTAGAAAATTTGGGAATGAGGCAAGCGTTCAGTGAAAATGCAAATTTGTCTGGTATTGCTAGTACAAATCCTTCACTAAAAATTGAAGGACTAGTGCACAAAGCTTTTATACATGTGGATGAAAAAGGCACGAAAGCGGTTGTTGTAACAGCTGTTAATCTGTTGCCTTTTGGTAGTGTTCCGGAGCTGATGCCAAAATTTACGATGAGAGTCGACCGTTCATTTTTCTTTCTCCTTTATGATAACTTAGGTCAACGCCAATATTTCTACAATTTAAAAAGAAAATATTAGGACTGCTCCGATTAACTGAATTATACTTGATAGAATTCATACTCTAATCTATGTTTTTTCTTCTTGAATAAATGAAAACAGTTAATCAGATAAATTCGATACTCATCTCGATTCAATTAATCTTTTTCGATTTATTCTTTAGAAAAAAAAATGAAACATATTTTCTGTAAATGTTATTGTTAATTATACAGATAAAGTGTCTTAGACGAATTGAATGATGCTAAATAATTTTCAAACACAGATCTATCTTGTTTCTTCATGTTGATAAAGTAGATAATAACTTTTCAATATATTATGCTCCGTTGAGACAATCTCACATGTGATTCCTAAAGTAAACAAAATTTTATTTTCATGCAATACAACACTTTAATAAGAGATATACCGCTAGAATACTGTTGGTTTCCAGTGTTGGATCAAGTTTGATTACAAAGAAAATATACTGTTGCTCATCTATTTGAGGATGATGGTGTTGGCCTTCTTTCCACTTACACCCTCACCTATTTGCCCACAGGTTTGATGCAAAAATCGATCTCTCTCAATTGTGATCCAAAACTAAGATTTTTGTGAACAATCCAAATTTCTTACAATGTGCATGAGGTTTGTGGATAAATTTATTTGCATTCAAACTGTTTTAAAAGAAAGACTCTTTGCAACAATGAAACGGCGGATTTCTGAGTTTTAAAATTGTTGACTCGTCACTGAGAACCTCGAAATTTTTCGAAGTACAAAATTTATCGTTTTCCTGTTGAATATTATAATAAAGCATTCGTCAACTGGTCAATACTATTTATCAACATGAAAAATAGATCTATAACTATTTCTTTTCAATATATTTCATTTTTGAATCCAGCTTCATTTATTTATTCAATCTTATTATTTTTTTTGTTTATATATATATTTATAGGCGTGTATTAAGCCCCCCACCCCCTCAGAGAAAGTCAATTTTGGTCAAATTTATCGATTTTATGATTTATAACTCATTAGATAGAGCAAAGTGTCTACTCTCGAATGCACTATAGTTGATTGATTTTATGATGAGATTTAAGAATATTACATAGGTTTTTCTGAACCTCCATATTGAGAAAATAAGGTTTTTAAAAACTTATTTTTCGTTTTTCTCAAAATCTGTTTTTTCGAGTATACCGTTTATGCAGACACGTTTTTCCTCATAACGACTCGATATGGAAGCAATAATTTTTTTATTATATAATTGACAGGTAGGGCTAGGTCGTCACAGAGCCGGATTTTTTAATTTCTCTTTTGCTGAAATAAAAACCGTAGATCTTTCGTTTTGATCAGTGATTTTTTTGGCCATGAATTCAAGAAGTTTTGAAAAAAAGGATTTTTAAAAAACAAAGGAAGGAAAATTCAAAAATCGGGCCCTGTTACAACCTAGCCCTAAGGGCATTCTCTACAACCTAAAAACCGCTCAGGCATGTTAGTTCGTATCCTTATTGTGAAAACCTTGTCCGCGTACAGGGTACTTTTAACTAATAAATTGACTATAACTCGTTAGTTTATTGGAATAACTAAATGATCCTCGTACTAACACAATATTTTATCGGTAATGCAAGTATACTAATAATATTATCATGAAAAGCAAAGCTCACAGAAAATCAGTAGAAAAAGGTGATCAAAAATATATATAAATGGTGGCTTATAGGAATTGCCTCAGCATGTACTACTGGTTTTAAGAACACCATTGCAACATACATATTGATATTGAAAGTAGCCTTGATCAGCACAGCATGCATCACCAGTCTGAGAAAGACCATTGCATGTTATTGCTTCATAAAATTGTAATTTTGTTAATAACGAAAGTAAAACTTCAAATAATATTACTTTAAAATTCATGTTTTTTTCTTTTAAACTTCTTTTGAATTAGTATTACAATTTTCTATACATTAATCGGAATTGATTGTTATATACATATTCATTTGATTTCTATAAGTTTTTGATCTTAACGCATCATTAACTATCACCAAACAAAAATGTTGTCGAAAGCAAGAAAAGAAAAAAGAAAAACAACACGTTTTTTATTTACTTATTATATGTAATGAATAATAATAATATGATATTGAAGGACGTACCTTTACGCATTTGATGAAAACAAGTGTAGAAAGTAAAGAAGTGTTTTTTTTTAGTCCCTTTTAACTCTTAAAATAAAAAGGCAACAATGACTAGCTAGAACAGTGACACTGGATAATGCCTACACTGAAAAAACAATGATATCAAACGAAATCTATTAGGTTATGTGAAACTTTACCATTACAGTTTAAGGTATCATAAAAATGTAAGTATATTATGCTAAAAGTTTCTTAATCTCATATATTCCATATGAATAGTCTTCCAAGTTTCGTAGCAAACCTCTCAAATGTATCGCAGCCCAAAAGCTTTCGGGTGTGGGTATGGATAGACATTACCATGATCTCCACGCCCACATCCCCAGACACACGCACTCTATATTTCATTGCGAAATGTATCGTGAGCAAGATAGAATATGTATGACTCTCTGAAACGCTTGAAAATATTCTCACTCTCTCAGCAGAACATGGTAAAAAGTTTCCAGAACTACTAAGTTGTAGTACGACACCACAAGATCTTTCTAATTCCAAGTATGGTGCTAAAAGTTAATCTTACTGATTTCATAAATTGATAACCAGTTTGCATATTATTTCTTGATTGATCATAGTCTACACTGGAAAAAAGATTTATGATTACCAAACCAAAGAAGGTTTCGTGGACTTCAAAAAGGTTTCGCACTCACTACGAAACTAGTAACTTGTTTCGTACTATGTACGAAATCTGAAAAAGGTTTCGATTTTTGAAGCAAAATGGTTCGGTACGGCGCCATTTTTCTCCAGAGTAGCCGTCAGTTACAGTCACACTTTACGAATGAATACTGAGAAAACGACAGAGTTTGATTGTCCTTAACTCAATCGTGTAGCAATTGAAAACGATGGTGGTTAGTGAAAGATTCTGCTAAAAAATATTATAGTTGCTGATCATAATCGATATTTTCGAATACTCTTGTATGGATATAAGATCTATGATATTTCATCTTGACCAAATCAAAATACGTATAGAAACATTTTCTGTTTTATTAGTTACGTATATATTTCATTAGTTTGACTACTCATCACACTTGGTTTCAAATTTTCCTCATGATTCATCTATCTTAGCTTTCGATAGCAGTTACTATCCAACAAAAGTAAAGAACTTGATCCAAAGATAAGATAATTATTCTTGTTACAGATTCAGAAAAGACAAATCTTCTGGTGTAATTAATAATTCAAAAGCTGTTGTATTATACGGGGTCATTGTTTAGTGAAAATAACTCAAAATAATGACTCATGTGTATGTCAGCAAATCACGCATGCAGTTACTTATTTGATAATTTGAAACAATAGAAACAAAAGAAGAAAAAAACACCGAACATCTCGTCGTCTACTTTCGAAAATCTGTCCGATGAAATTATAATGATCATTATAGAATATTCTGGTGATATTCAATCTCTGCTACAGGCATAGCTTGACTTAAACCAACGTTTAAACAATATTCTTCTCGATCGGTGTTCACATTTATTGACTAAATTTTTGTATCAAACTGGAGTGCGGGTATGAATATGAATCGAAAGAGACCCACACAGACACGCATCCAGCACCATTTCTCTGATCACTTAGTAACTTTTGAGTTACCAAGCTATCAGGGCCTCGTAATATAATTTCGCGGAAATGTGAGCTGAAGAAAGCTTTTTGCGGGATTAAATGACAGTTTCCGAATGTCCAGGAAAAGTCTAAACTGGAATGATTTTAAATGTGTTAGCTAGAATTGCAAGCTGTTGTGTAATCAGAGACAGTCGGGATGACGGAATGAATTTTTAACACATTTCTATAGGATTGACGTTCCTGACTTTAATACTCATTTGACGCACGTCCGTCAATCATACACATAGATGAAAATAAAAACTTTACTCTTTATTTTTGTCACATTCTCGCGTACTGCTTTGTTTGAGCAGTGATTTAATCACTGACAGCAATATATTCCGTCGCATAAAATCATGAAGAATAAGCAACTAATGAGATTAAGACATCACACATAGATATAAAATACGCTAAAAATAACAGCACTTGAACATTATTCATCGTTTTATTTGTGTACTCCCCATCAGACACAAGCATAAGGCTGGTAAATTGTAACAATCTTCTCTTGATAACTCTGACAAATGAGTATAGCAAAGTTTTTCTGTTATCATCAGTAACTATGTGAAGGATGTGTGTTTATTCAATTTCCAATGATGATATAACAGTTTGATAACGATACAAAGTCATGCGAGTCAACTTTGTGAAGCAAGACTTCGTTCAATCTATTCGGAACTCGCCTAACTTGGTCTTCTGAGAAAGCCAATGACGAACTAGAATACTTTCTATGAAATTGATCAATTAAAGGATTCTTCTATCTTTTGCAACTATAATATTGTTTGAAACCAACTAAACATTGAATGTTATGAATAAGCATCAGAACAATAGATTTTAAAATTATTGAATGAGAAGTACTCGAGAACGGACTGAAATTATCTCTTGAAGGAAAGACAAGTCTGCACTGCTAGTCTCAACGTTTTTTTTTCAGCAGTTGAAAATCTTGAATTATTTAAAAATCTAGATAATATACTTGATAAAAGAATAATCGAGATTTGAAATAAGTCTTGACGATTTTTCAAAGAGTTTTGAATTTTTTATCTGGTAGAAGTTGCCCTGGTAAGACTTATTTTAAAATCAGATGGTTATTCGAGCATCTCTATCTATTTTTATCTTGAGAATAGGTTTATTAAAATTATGTCATAAGTACAATGCAATGAAACATGCGAGGATAATTTACTCTGTGCTAAAGATGAAATGAGCATGCAGGTATAGGTATGAGTATTTGTCTTCTCTTCACATCCATGCGGTTATCCATACCCCCAATGACATACTTCTTGTCATATTCGATTCAATGATGTCAGGTAGTATAAAGATATTTCATACCACAGTCAATCAAAGTGTTCATTTTGTCGACTTAGTACGCAGAAATATTTTGCATATTGTCAAGTTTCATTCTGTCTATGTCTTGATTATTCAACTCTCATTGACTAGCACAAGTCGATATTCGAATATGTTGATATAAGTTTGAACTTGATGATATATACTAGCTAATCGAAGGTACCTTTTTCTATTCTTATTATTCATAGGATTGATATTCTTTTGACTCAATTCAATAATGAAGAGATTGACACTGTGGAGAAGATCTGTTCAACACAGACGTTCGCATCGTTGTGTCAAGTTGTACAAACATACAGTGAAACTAGTCTCAGCTCTATTTCTTCCTCTTCTATTGGCAATATTTACTGTGATAGTTGCGTTTGAACAGCGAAAAGAAAATCAGCAACAACGTTTTGAAGATCGAGAATTAGCTCGCACCCATCGAGAACAAGAATTAAATATATCGATCTTAGCACGTGAAGCTGATAAATTAGCTGCACGATTACAACGTGAAAATGATCGAGAAATAGCTGAAAGTCAAGGAAATATGTCTCGACAATTGGAGGATTATCGATATGAACAAGAACGGATCAAATATCTCGATAGTTTACTTGCAAATTATCTCGATGATATTGGACAATTATTGAAAGAAAATAATGGTTCATTGACATCAAGTTTCTTAGCTGCTGCTCTAGGACGAGCTAAAACTCTGCACATCTTACGTATGGGAATAGGTTCAATACGAAGCAGTCAAATCATTCATTTTCTTTATGATGCTGGACAATTAACTGTTAATCAGAATCCTCTAGATTTATCCAATGCTCCTTTAGATGGTATTTATTTAACTGGTTCATCAATGAATTCACTATCATTAGTCCGTACTCGATTAATCAATGCTTCCTTTATTGGTCTAGACGTATCCAATGGAAATTTTGTTGGAGCATATCTTAAAAATGCTAATTTTAGTGGAGCTAATTGTACGAATGTTGATTTTCAACAAGCCAATTTGTTTCAAAGTGATTTTTCTAGTGCTATTCTAACCAACGCTAAATTTGATCATAACGATCTCGCTTATTCCACTTTGGCCAATACTAGTCTTATCAATGTTAAATTTCATTCGGCAAATCTCTCATATACTACTCTCGCCTCTAGTGATTGCACGAATGCAACATTTGAACAGACAATATTGATCAAGTCTGATTTTTCTTACGCGACACTAACTCAAACACAGTTTCGCCAAGTTAATTTACTAGGAGCAACATTTTCATTCGCTAAATCAGAGGATTTCCATGGTTGGGGGTGCTTATTTAATTCTTCTCAATTGGAGAGATCGAATTTTACTCAAACTGATCTATATAGTCTGACATTTATTAATTGCAACATCACAAAAAGTATCTTCTATCAAAGTCAAGTAAAGTTTATTTCCATCTTATATTCTGATGCAACCAACATAGATTTTACGAGCGCTACACTTTTCAAAGGACAATTCAATGTAAGCATATTTAAATACGCTAGTTTTGTGAATGCTGATATTCGCGGCACAGTCTTTAATTATGTTGATTTAATCAATGCTAATCTATCAGGTGCCCAATGTTCCAACAATGTTTGCTTGTGGAATGAGTCTGTTTTTCTTGAAAATGCAACCTTGCCAAACGGTTCATTAGGTCGTTTCAAAAATTTGATCGAGAAGAGTCCCGTTCAGTGTAATTTATCGGTAGAAGAACATGGCTGGCATATCATTGGAAAGCATACTATTGTCACTAAACCTAATTGGAATGGCTCTGATCAATGTGTTTTTACACTTTCTCCCGATTCAACCGATGGAAAAATGAATCTATTTGTCAATCTTTCACGTTTCGCAGATTTTATTGATACAGGGCGATCATTTGCACACATCAAAATACAACAAGGAAAACAAGTAATCACCAATATCCGATCCGATCAATCGAGTCATGGAGGATGGACGTGGAGTCATCATCAGACCAATCCTAATTTCAAGTGTGTGACCGCAGGTTTACATCCAAATACAAGAAGCTTGACGATCGATGTCCGTTTTCGTGCATCTGTTTTTGGGCGCGAAGAACTCTATTTCTACGATGTCGTGTCTATCATGGGTCTTTGGTTAGATCATTTAGAAGATGCCAATTATCAAATACTCGAACATGCATGCTAATAAATTTGATTGATGTTCTGACTAATGAAAAGTGTGGGTATGCGTGGGGTGTGGATGTAGACAGGTATGTTTTCTAGAACTACATCCACACCCTACTGACAGATTGAAGCATCGTAAATAGTCATCATAAGACTAATCACCAGACTGTTATAGTCACTTTCGAACGATGGTCGGACAAGTTTCTAATCGGTGAGAGTAATTATGTATTACATGCACCAAAATGACTCCTGACAGGAAAATGTAAAACTTAGTCAAACTATCAAAAATCCTGTTACGGGAGGCATTGATTCCGTGATTCGAATTCAACTTACGGATTATTCTTTTGGATAGAGACTCCAAGTAAGTTAATAACATCTATCTTGACGACATATCTTTTCTTTTATATATTATTTTTATTCCACATTGTTGGTCTATATAGTCATTCTCATTTTTCCGCTAGAGATGACCGTAGAAAAATGCAACTTTCTGCGTCAACAAGTTCATTGCAATTTTTCAGAAATCAAGTTAGAAAATGAAAATAAAAACTTCAACAAGCGATAAATGAATTATCGAATGACGATTTGTCTTGTGTTTCAAACCACATAACTGTATTCTTTTCTATTAAGATAGACAACAAAAAGCATGAGAATTATTCATGATTAAGCTAGCATACCAATTGTCTTTTGAGCGTAACAAATAATCACGTTCGATCAACAATCCAATTCGATTTTCGATTGATTTTTGAGTGCACTTAAAGCGTGCTTTGAGTTCACGTGTGACCTGAAAATAATGACAGCTCAATAAATAAAATATTTGAAATTCTTCAGGACAGAAAACGAACTTCAATAATGAGATTAGTGTACTCTATGGTTTTGCGCATCTTCATAATTCGTACAATAGCTGCATCAATTTCATGACGACGATCACTCTCGACTTTATTCAGAGTTTCTTGTCGTTCCCGATCACTTTCAGTTTTCGCCAAAATTGACTTCACTTTAACACAGTAAACTTTTGATGTAAACGAATCATTGATATAAAAACGATCATTCGATTGAATATTGTTGTTGCTAGGTTCTTTGAGAAGTATTGCCTGTGTCGTTTTTCTCATGACTAGCGGCAATAAGGCACACTGAAGATGATGTTCATTAATATCTGTTTGATGACGAATTTCCTAGAATAAATAAATAATGCATTTATCGACATGAAGCTATGCCAAATAGTTGTTAATTACCGATACATTAATCTCATTAGATTGACATTTCGTTTTAATAAGATATTTTGAATAGTTGATTCTCATTTTTCACATATTCTTAATTCTCAAAACATCATAGTATCATTTGGCACTAATTGAGTGGAAACTTTTTCGAGAAATATGTAGAAAAAGTTGGATGAAGATGAGACCTATAGCCTATCTTTTCCAGTTCAAATCGACTCGATTAGATAGCAACTATCATGGATTCGATAAAATTTGTTTCTATTATGTTTTCTAGTGTAGATTTACCTCAAATAACCACGACTTTTTCGTATTAAATAACATTAAGATGATCATTTGATAGGTCTACACTTGTAATATATGTTTCCGTTCGTTGATCTTTTTTATTGCCGATTGTGATTCTACATTTTCATTATCCAGTGTGGATCGATCATAAAATATTGAAGTTACATCTGCTGTACCCAAACTCGGCTCTAATACCAATCGGCGACCATTGTGAATATTTATACAGAAATTATAAAAACATTGATAAACTTCGTTCACCATCTGTGGTAGAATGCATTGATTATTCGCATTCTGAAATGGCCAACAGACTTTTGTTAAAATTTGCATTGAAACATCAATGCCATGTGAATCGAATGATTTTTTAGTTAGAGAAAATCGAAATTCGTTCATAGTTGTTTCCGATATCAATATATCTTTCATCATGCCCTCTAACTGATATGTAAACTGACTGTCATATTTGCTTCTTAGTCGTAATATCATGTTGTTTTCCATATGTTCCGATGCCAATTGTTTTGATGGAAGACGTTGAGCAAAATGTTTTCGATAATATTGTTCGAAAACATCTTTCTCTGGCAAATAATCCGCTAACATCATTGTTTTATCAAGAACAATACCAATTTCTTGACTATCATCATCCGACTTGTTTATCTTCAATTTATTATTGATAAATAAGGAGAGATATGCTGAAATATGCTGATTCAAATTGATAAAATATTCAAGATCAGAAACGATTCGTCTTTTGCATATCTACAACAAATATATGGTGATTTTATGAATTAGAAAAGATTCAAATATAATCAAAATTTACTTCGTTTCCATTCGATATTGTTTTGAGAAGAATATCAACAATATCTTTCAAATCAAGTAAATTCTAAACGAAACAATTCAGCAGTTCTGTAAAAGAATTGATAAATTTACTTGAACATAGATATTACTGGGTTTGCTTTCAGTTTCATTGTCGATCATTTTTTGCAACATTTCTTTAAAATCGTGATAGTATTGTTCAAAAAGATCTTTCTCTTTTAGATAATCTAAGAGTGTCATTGCTTTACAGAGTATGATGAGCTCTTGTTTGCCAAGACATCGAAGACCTTTGTAGAATGTATTTTTGATTAGTGATGAGAGATATTCCACTTGACTTTGATTTAAATTGATGTCATCTTCGAAATCAAATTGGATTCGTTGTTCTAAGGACTTATTGTCATCAAGTAAAGTTTTATGAATGATGTCGAATGCTTCTTTCAATTCGAAAAAATTTTGAACAAAACGAATGCGATTCTCATCGTCATCTCCATTTTCAATTGTCAATCCATTTCTTTGATCGTGAAAATACGTATTAATGCAATCGAGAATAGTCAAATGACCATCTGAAATCTGTTTGAAGAGTTTATACAACATTGCAAGATCGTCATATTTCCTTGATTTGATCATATGAGCTACACCTGAATTTTCCATTTCTACAATATTCTTCGCATGTTTTCGAATTAATTCTTCTTCAATCACTTGAACAATACGACTTTCTATTGATTTATAAAACTAACGAGTGGCACGTTCAGATTCTTCACTAATATGTCCAGATACCTTACGGATATATTCAGGTATATTTTTTTCTACAAGTAATTTCTCACTTTCCCGTTGATAGAAGTCAGTCGAACATTGTAGCAATCGTGTTTCGAAAGGTTCAACGTCTACAAAAAGACTATCAATATCCAAAATCGTGAACATCTGACGGATATCTTTCATAGTCGTCTTATCTACAATTTGACCATATCGCTCCCGGTCAATCATTTCCAGTAGGGCATCTCTGAGATGTTCTTGAATGGTAGGAAATTGAACAATATTTTCACGAAATAACGCAAGACCCATGTTGTATATAGGCTCGAGCTTTTGTAAGACAACATAGATTCGATCCATGTAGTTTAAAAAGTCACGAATTAACCTGATGGCCGTATGATAACCATTCCATACAGATTTGAGCATATCCAAGACATGCATTGATGATGATTTCACAATAAGTGGTCTCATCTGAACGAAAGTGAATTAAAATACATGAATTAAAAAAAAAGATAATGTTGCGTACTTCTTCGACAAGGTATGTGGTGATCAATGTTCGAGTACCCGTATACACAATCTCGCCATGACCATGTAACACTAGAGTGTAACAGGCTCTATAAAGTTCTTCGAAGTTCAGACCAACAGTGTTTTTAAAAACTTCTTGAATGGCAGTTTTCAGCGTGCGATTCCAGATATCATCGCGTTCTTGATCATTCATCACCATCTAGAAAAGATAAATAAAATATTAAATTTTCAACATTAATAGGTGAAAAGCTAGCAATAATCACCTTTCCCAGATTATGTCTCACGCATTAGGCGAACCATATCAATATCCTTTGTCGAAGAATTTGTAGTAGAGCGATATTTCAACGTATTTCCATTGTAAATGAACAACAACAAATATTCGACTGATTGATGTCGTTCTACAAACTTATGGTTGTCAAAGTCCATGTCTATCTATTTCTTGCGCATATTCGCTTCAATTTTAGGGTGCATGGCATACAAATTGACTTCACTCATAGATATCAATAGAATTATTATGAGTAAGCGAAAATATAATTTTATCAAAAATTTTAATTTCTGCATCTATTTATAGGTACTAGAACAGTATGATACAGAAAAAAGTTCCATGAGATGCAAAATCTATGCGATACAATGCCTTAGTATATTTGTAGCCACTTTTGTTCTATAGCGTCGCTTATTTTCTAATAAACGCTTCAGCTAATTTCAAAAACGGATGTAACAGTTTACGATCGAATATTTCTCTATTGATTTCTTCGATATCTAACACTAATCTTTGAACAAATTTACATACATAGAACATGATTTTTTTTAATGAAGTCTGTTTCCTTTATGATCCTTTACTAAGTATAATCAAATCATAATAATTAAGTCTGCAAATGAAACACCCATTTTGTTTTCATGATCAAAGCACTTTTGTCGAAAAATCGATAAAGAAGTAAGAAAGATATAAGTCAAATTACGAATGTGTGAAATATTAGCATGACTATTCAAAAAATCAAGCAACACGGGATAATACGTACAAAAAACTGACGAATCCTCATTTTTATCTCATTGCCATCAATCTTATTGGATTTTTCACTCATAGTCTTTGAATCGGAGGAGTGATTATCGATAATACTTCACGTAACGTTCACAATCGGATCGAAAGATAGTCACTTGAGAAACTAAACACAATTTCTAATAAGAATTTGTTGTAGTGTGTTAAAGTTAAAAAATCTAAAAGAAACGACACAATATCATTAAGAAAAAAAAAGCGTCTTGACGATCGCATCATCTTGCACGTGCACTCATCGCTTTTGAGAGAGATACACAGCAGAATGAAAAACGAAAAATAAATGATGAACTAAACCCGAAAGCGATTATCAAGGAAAATTAGGATGCTTTGGGGTGACATGAAAGTAGCACGTGTCAAGGTATGACTAATCTTAAATCAGTAATATAAGCTGATATAATTTAGATGACAATTGCCTATCTGACGTTCCAGTAACTCTTTGCATTACACGAGAACAGAAATGACAGTACTTTGCAACCCATTCAGAATGGATTACTCACAGAATAAGTTTTTGAATAAAATCGCAGTTTCGTTTGAAATTTTTTCTCCGTAGGTACTAGTGTCAATATGTCAGTGTTATAAACCTACCGTGTACACTATCGATCTTACTATGAAAGAACCAGCGCGCATTTTTGAACTAGAAGTCTTCAAAAGTAGAATGAAAATTGGGATGCTCTGAATACTGTAATAACTAGGGGTGGTGCATTAGAATTAGCATTGGCATTTATTAATACTAGTGCCTAAAGCATTAGCATTTTTTAAATACTAATGCTAACATGCCACCTCTAGTAATAACTTTCACAGACAACTGTATCATTGACAATCCCTATACATGAATGAATAAATCTTATCAGAGTAACAAAAGATGTCTTCACAATCGAGTCATGTGAATTCTCGTTGTGAAAAGAAATCAGAGGTATCGAGGAAGGAAGAAAATGAAAGGGAAGAGCATACTTCAAAGTGTACGACACAAAAGCTGATGACCAGAATCATGATATTCTTTCAAAAGCATATTGTTACTTAACTTATGTGTCTGCAAGCTGATGAACGAAAATATTGATGAACACGCTTGTTTTTGCTTTCTTTTAAATCTATTTGAAGAAAGCAAAAAACAACAACAGGAAATCGAATCAACATAATGACACAAGTATTGTGCAAATACTTTTGAAGGAACGGGTAAATCAATTACTTTTTGTGTTATATAGAGGAAAAAATATGAATCATGTTTTTGTTATCACTTATGAAATGACATCTACAGATCATATATTTCTACTGTAAACTTGCTGTACTAGATAGAAGACACATTAAAATTATGTCTACAGAATAACCTCAAATTTGATCATGTACCTAATATGAAAAATATATAGATGTAAATTTCACAATGAAAGATGGCGCATTTTACAAGTTCTAAAAAGCAATAGACTTCAAATATGTTTTAACTATAAATGCGGATAAAACTACATTGCAACATTATTAAAAATCGCAGAATACGCGGTATTTCATTGCCAAATTTACATCTTTTTTTATATCAAGGATATGATGAATTTTCAGCTTATTCAATGGACATCTTTTTTAATACTTCTTTGATCTGGTAAAGCGATTTTACAGTAGAAAAAAATTGTGCATCTAGTGCAGATGGGTTATGCAACCTCAGTCATATTTTTAGTTAAAACCATCCTTGAGATATTAGAAAAACAATATCATCTGTTCAATGCATGAATAAGTTTGAGCGCCATTGTATCCACTTTGTGACAATGAAAAGTCAGTCAAGTTGTTGTTGTCGCACTTTTTAAAATAGCTATATGATGCATGGTGTTAATAAAACTAAGCCTTCTATGAAAATACTTGTAATATAACCTAGAACGTATGATTTAGGAGTGGTAAAAATGAAGAAAACTTTTATCGTCGCGGTTAAAATCAGGCACTGACGACAACAAGATTTTCTTTGTTGACTGAATCTATTCGAAGAAGAAACAAAATGTTTCATCACATTCATATTATTCACAAATCACTAAAAACTCAACTATGAACTTTTTCTCGAATAATCTCATCAATTCACAAGACTGCTGTAACAGTGAAAAGAGGATTTCAGTTTATATGAGGGAAATCGCTATTGGATCTTTTCGAAGCCGCTAGATCTATGATGATATCAAGTTTTTAATAAATTGATAAAATATTATCAAGATCGATTAAACTATTTAAGAAATATTTAGGTTATTCGACATGTTTTAAAATAAGAAAATGTAAAAGGCTAATAGAAGTGTTTAGTTTCAATTCTTTTCGATTAAATTTTACTAGTAAATATTTGCCTACGAACCAAGACTCGTACGTTGTGCATCTTTAAAAAACAGTTTTTGTATTTTTTTATGAATTTTAATTTAAGTCTTTTATTCAAGAAAAAAAAATAGCAGAATAAATATGTAAAAAAAAACAATAATCAAACGAATAATTTTCGTTTGAGTTAGACAATATAAATTTCCATATCAATCTTTATTCACTGATATTGTTTATTTTCTTATTACTCGTGTTGAATACAATAAATCTTTGAGTTCAATATGTTTGATAATTATAGATGAATGTATAGGATTTTTTGATCGATGAAGCGAAGGTTGTTCGCTTAAAGTTATTGCTGAAATGGATAAATCAAGTTTTTTTCAAAGAACTATTTGATATTGATAAAGTTGATAATAATGGTTGCGCATAAGAAGCTTTATTGAACAGTTTTGATGATGATGTCAATGAAATATAATATTGAAATGAATCAATACTTGCAAGTAAGATGATCTATTGATGTGTTTTCATTGTATCTTTCGTCATTTATTTGATGATATTTTAAAGTGACAGAAGGTCAACTCTTTATTTTTTAAGTTTTGAGAAAGAAAAAACGAAATAATTAAGCCAAGAATTCGAATCTCAAAAGATGAAGTGACAAAACATTTTCATTTTTTTTTTAATACTTATTTTATTGTTCCTAGAAGGGCTAACAAATGATAAATTCACAGTTTTCTTTCATGACATATAAGTTTATGATGTATAAATAGGAAAGTATTTTAGAATAAAGTATTCAAGAAGGCATGAAGTATTTCTGAAATGACAAAATAATCCTTTGTGTGCATTCATAAATGAAAGATATTCGAGATATGTATGGTTTGCTCGTTTATAGTCTATTTACGAATTTACTGTTTTTCCTCAGTCTCATGCTTTTATAGTATTCTTTCGAAGGATCTGTTGCTATTAGGAATGTTGTCCATGTTTGTCTATACGAATTTGCTTCTGGTTATTCGTTCAAATGTATAAAACATTTTCATTTCATTTGAACATGAAATGCAACATACATTTAAATGAAAGTTTCTGTTTTCTTATCAAGTATGGATAGTTTTCTAAAACACTGAGTTTATTCAATCGAATTTCCCGACTAGTTGTATTATAAAAATTTGATTTATAAGACAAGTTTGCATCCATAGTCCTCCGATATAGACATCGGATATTAAATATTTCAGGTATCATATGCATATTAGTATTCCTTTAGCAAGTGTTACAACGTGAATGCAGAGAAATATTGTAAATCGTTACTTTATGAAAAGGAAAAGGCTTTGCCAATTTAATCACACATTTTGACTATCATACACGAAATTTTCTCCTCGAGAAAATATCAATATTTTGACCTGAAGTTTCGCCCATAGGTGAGTCTTGCAGACCTTAGAATGATCTGACAATTTCAGTATGAAAAAATATCCCAAAACAATCATATGCCACATAGATAGATGAAACTCAGCGTTTACAACAGGCTATGTTTCAAGAAGACCACATCAATATAGGCTGGAATTTTTGAGCATTGTAACGTCTGCAAGATTGCTTGTGGGAAAAAGTTTCAAATAGAAATTATGTAATTCTATTTCTTCGCAAACATCCTGTCAGAGATAAACAAATCTATTAAAACTGTAATAACTTGTGAAGAACAGCACATGAGAACGAACCACTATATGATTTTACTTCTTTCGTCAAGGCCTACTTATAGGCAACATATGTTCGACTAGCAAGTCACACTTTAGAGCCTTTTCTCGTCAGATTGATGAAAGTAAAGATTAGAATCATTTTAGAGCTTTTCTATTCTCATATTCAAAATGTAAAGTTACATTGTATGCAGCCATTAAGAACATTCGCTAAAGGATTCAATGTAAGAGAATAAAATTTATTTGATGTTGATGGACGAGAAAGTTATAGAAAAGTTCTTTTTTTTCGGTATATGTGTTCGAAATGATATTTTTTGTTTTTGATTTGTTCTAATAAGAAGTGATGCAATAAATGTATGGTATACGTTCCATCGTGTTGTGCATTGCCCTTCCCTCCCCAATTATCTTTTAATACTAGTAGTACTCCTGGAATAAGCAGAACCAAGTCTATATTACATTGGTAAAACAACATTAGGATAACAGATAACCTAAAAGTGGATAAAAAATTAAAAGAAATCGTATATAAATGGCGAACCTTCACAGTTGCGTGTACTGCCATGCAATTTCGTTATAACAAAAGTATCTAGATACATGAAGTTTGTCTACAGTGAGTATCTCAAACAACGGTGGTAAAAAGAGTGAGATATTTTGATTGATTTGGTGCGGTGCTATTTGATATGTCAATGAAAATATTTTTAGTACGAAATAATCATTGTAGAGTGGTATTTTTTATGGTATAACAGCTGATTTTCTATTGAAAAAGTAAACAAAAGAAACATACAATAAGGTACTTATCGTAGACCACGAATATCTTCATTAATTCTTTTTATTAAAAAATAGACTGGTTGTCGTACCACTTTGAAACCGCACTATCATCATAATACGAACATTAGGGTGTGGGTGTGGATCTTCTCTTTATTCGCACATTCACACCCATAAAGTAGCAATTCCACCATTGATTGGTTCGAAATACAAGACAACCGGCCAACTTCATAATTTTGATTACGATTACTCCACAGAATTCATTTATACTAGTGTCGTCGAAGCACACGACAGAAAATTCATCAAAGCAGCGATATGTGTTCGCCTTGAAATATAAAAATTTTCGTCTTCGGGCAGTATGCTATTGTTTGACTGATGACTGTTAAATAAGAGAAGAAAAAGAACAAGCTTGTGTTTCTTCTTTCGGCACTAAATGAAGACTTCGACAGAGAGAAAAAGAAAGAGAAAGAGAGAAAATGAAAAAAAAAAAAACCGTGAATCATGTTAAGCATAAGTAGCAGTTTTTTTTTCACTATGACGATGATCAAAGTACGCAGAGCATATATTAGCTCTTTGTAATCGATCCTAATGAACCAAGAATCGAGATTCTTGTCAGTTGAAGACAGTGCTATCAATAATAGTATTAACAGTGCTAAATCCGGCGTAATCGATTCTCGTCGTCTTCGACCTTGGCAACCATTTGTTAGACGCAATTCAATGTTGATTGGTATTTTCATTGCTTTGATCGGCTTCTTTCATCTTTCCTATGTATTTCGTCAATCGAATTCAGTTCTACTAACACCACATCAATCTTCAGTGCACACATATCAAGATAAAAATTTAACTATAATGGCAACGCCATTGCAAAACAATACCAACAAGACTGATCTCGTTCTTCATGAATCTGAACTACCTGTTTCATGTGTTTTTGGAATTCTTCAGTCAGATGGAGCATTCGGTAATCGAATGTTCCTTTTTGCTAGTGCCTACGGCTTAGCTCGTATTCATTCATGTCATCTTTATGTATGTCCTCGAATCATGTTTGACCTGCGATCTACGTTCACGATTAATCTAAATCAAACTCCAGTCAAACTATTGGAAAATCCGGCAGAGTTCGAAAATCGAACTGATGTTTTTCGACGATATAGTGCATGCACATTATTCGACGATTTATTCAAAATACCCTTGCCTTCAAATTATACACGATATGAACTCGTAGGTTTTTATCAAGCTTTCGGTTATTTCGATCGGTTTCGCACAGAAGTTGTTCAATTATTCGAATTTAACAGTGAAACAATCAGACTAATTACACCATTTGTCGAACAATTGATCAAATGTGAGTTCTACAACATGATGTGTCTATTTCAGTTTTGTTTCATAAAGCAATATTTGAGGAAAATTCAAATTGTTATGCTAAAAAAGCAGAATATTCACAATTAGGATCGATGTTGGTCCCTCTTAACTTCTTTTTCTCAGTTGAATCAATTGAATTATATATGAAATTAAAGAACTTGTCTTCAAATCATTTTCATGATGAATTCGAGGTATTTTGATTCGATTAGGAGTGCTATCAAGATCTACCTTTCACCACATACTAAATAGACAATTAGCCATTGATACTGACTGACAATACCAGTATTCGTTTAAAAGAAAGTAAATGAAGGTAAAAAGCGTGATTCAAAGTCATGATGATAAGTCATTCTTTGGATTACATTTATTTGACGGAATATCGAAATTAATAACGTATTTAAATTCACCACAAAAAGGATATAGTCGATTTATGTATATTTTTATTCAGTCAAAAAATGAACTTATTAGCATCTAACAAGCTTAGCACTCGCTTTATACTATCCAAATGACCTTTTGATTAAATTCATTTTTTCACTCATTTTTGAAGAGGATCAGCAGTAAATATTTGAATGAAAAAAACTTCAGATTAGTTTCAGACATTTGTGATATATTAGTTAAAAAGTCAGAAGTTATTCTTCAAGAACAGTGTAGCTGATACTATTTGAAATACTCTATCAAACTAAATGTGAACAAACTTTGGAAAACATTTTATTAGCATAATAATTACACCCCAATCGTATTGCAAGCAATAGAAGACTCGTATTAAGTTGCGTAAATATAGTCCGAAGAAAGGCTTATCAGAATAATTTTGAATTATATCTTTTATCTCTATTTTTCATTTCATATATGATTCAATGGAATTCTATGATGATGATTTCAATATTATTCATATTGAGGTTTTCTTGTATTCAGAACGTTTTTAGTCAAGAAAAATAATTTTTGCAATCTGATAATAATGTGTTTCAAAATACGAAAGAGAAAAGATTGCAAAATGAATCGTTCGTTAATGAATAATTTGGAGAAGAATTCTTATATGATTCACTACTTTCTCTTTTCTTATAATCTTTGACGTACTAATTAGATCACTGATCGATTTCGAGTATAATAAATGTAACATTATGTTATTATGAATTGAATCTGTTATTGAGAACGACTTTTATTAGGAATACATCATTTGAAATGGGTAAATGAGTAAAACTTCGAAATAGTCTTTGTAACAAAACAAACAATTTTAGAATGTGCTGTTTATCTAGTGGACATAGGTTCACAGAAAAAACACTATAACACACTCGCATTTTGTCACTATGTTGAACAATTTGTACTTTTCTGGTTCTTTTGTGTGTTTCATTAGCTGTATGGAACAATCCTGTCAACTTCTATGCCAACAATAGTAAAGTTACACATGATACACTCAAATCATTTCTGCTTCATCCGCCTTCCTCATTGTCACATGTAACATGGATAGGAGTGCATATTCGTCGTGGTGATTTTTTGACTTTCTTCAAAATTGATACGAGTACTTCTTATCTCATTTGGGCCATCAGCTATTATCGTCAGAGATACATTAATTGTCGGTTTTTAATTGCGTCTGATGATAAAAATTATGCTAAACAACATTTTGGCAATTATCCCGATGTTTTTATCACACCATCGTCCTTTTTTCATGGTCATGATTTGGCTGTATTGGCTTTATGTGAGCATTCAATTCTAACAGCAGGAACCTATAGTTGGTGGGCAGCATGGTTAGCAGGTGGTAATGCCATACACGATCTTAACTATCCAGTACCATTTCAGAAATGCATCAAAGAACATTATTTTCCTCCATGGTTTCTTTTTCCTCACAATAGTTCAAGTAAACAATGGAGTCCACCTCCATCACAGTGATCTAGAGCATTTGCTTTGTTCTAGCAAAGAAAAAGTTGAATATATTTCTAGTTGATGATATGGATTTGAGTATGCGTGCGTTTTTCAATAGCACTAACAGACACACTCTGACTCTCTGAGTTTATCTCTGTGCACTTCATTGAAAAAAACAAAGTCTACAGACACATTGAGAAACCTGTGCGCGTAAATGAAATTGACTGACTTTTTTCATCTGATAGACAACTTTTATTTTTAATAAATGATGTAGAAATAATAGAAAAATACAAAAATAAGTAAATTTTATTTAATTGAAGACTGATTTATCACAAAGAAAATGAATCAAATATTAACTGATCAAAATCATTTTTCTTAGGGATGGGTGGGTGTGGGTATAAAACAAAAGGCGAGAAACCAACACCGACACCCACATCCATACCAAAACCCACACCCATCCACACCCTGTTTAATATGAATTAAAGTATATACTGGTTTTAATGATCGAATATTCTTTTTTAGTAGATGCGGCTGTGAATAGGAAAAAAACTAACACCTACACTCTGCAAATCGATGTTGTCATATTGACGACTGGGTAAAAAAAAATACGCGTTAAAATATGGATGCATGTGAAAAGAAAATCTTGCTTATCAGACAAGGTGTGGCGTAATTTTTTTTCTTTGTTATAGAAAGAAATGTTGCGAGGAAGTAGGCAAGAATGATGAAATACCCAGTATCACTTCCGAATGTCGAATCACCTGCATACGTCAATATCAACAATGTGACGTTGAAGATGATACAAGCCGAAATTTCCAACTTTGTTTGAATGAAACTACCTAATAAAACAAAGCAAACCTTTGTATTTTCATATTAAAACTATTCAATAAAAATGTCTACACGTGTCGATTCGAGTAGCCATTTGGCTACGCAAACGATGCGTCAGTCTACTACTCATCCAGTTTTCGATCGACTATTGAATGCTATGACCAATCAAGAAATGCGCTTAGTACTCATTGGAAGAACAGGCGAAGGTAAACTTTAAAACTTCTCGATTGACAACATTATGGCAAGAGTTTCATATTGCATATCACGATGTGACGGCAATGCTTTCTGAAAAGTTTTCTTGATAATTTGTTTCGCCTTTCTATAAGGAAAGTGTCTGGTGTAGTGCAAATAATCATCTCTCACGATTTGGTAAAACGTTCAATATCGTGGTTACTCTGACCTTTGTAAAATTTTATGTTTGCCCTGATGATATGAAACTATTCTTTTGTCTGACAGCAAGCAGAAAGAGAAAATTTTCTGGTTGTGTACAAAAATATGTCAATAAAAGATGAAGTTTTTGTTTACCTTGGAGAGGGCTGAACAATATCTCCCGAAAGAGGGAAATGGTAGCCATTCAGAGAGAAATACTTAACTCTTCCCTCCACCCCCCGCCCCCACAAACTTCGAAAATATACTTTTTATCACAAACACTGTCTGTCAATGAGAAACGATGGTGAAATGGATAAAAACTGGCGAAAACGATCATTAATCTCCCAACTTTTCTTCTTTTCGTCTAGGGACTGTGATGAAGCATAAATGGAAAAAATGAGAGAGATATGGTTGCATTTTAAGAATAAATGCTTCGACTAAGTCTTTTATCCAGTTTTTCTTGACATGCGTAATTGGGGGGGGGGGGATAAGTATTTGATTATAAACGGGTGAAATTTTCCCAATCCATGGGTGTTGTTGTTCACTACCGGGCTTCGAAGGTATGTCTGGATGAAAGATTGATTAACAAAAGACTATTGAATCAAAAAAATAGAGCATACAATCAACAAAAATCTATGAGCGGTGGCATTAAGTGAACTAAAAGTGAATCACGACTACCACAAAATATTTCATCTCTCTTTACAAAAATCTTCATTTTTTAAGCAAAAGAGCCGAAACTGTCAATTATTTTTATATGTGACTATCGATCTTCGAAAGTTTGAGTTCTATGGGATGGAGGGAATGCAACACATGTTCATTAAGAAACTAATCGAAGCATCGACGTCGTATGTCTATAAAAGGAAGAAAAATCTGTAGTTGAGAACGTTGAAACAACGATACAAATTTTTCTTTGAAGGTCAGACACAATTTTATGTTTATTCTCTGAATTAGGATTGAGTCGCTCAGTTGAAAGATGTTTATCTAATTGTACAGTTAAACCGTTCGACTCACCTATAGAGACGTTTGAGACAAGCTTCAAAGTAAATAGCGTACAGTTCACCGAAAATAAAAGGAGTGATTTAGTGTGTTAACGACGTCCTAGGTCGAGTTTTAGAAGACAATGACCTTCATATACTGACGAACTTCTGATATTGCTATTGCTACTTTTAGGCAAAAGTGCCCTAGCCAACGTTTTGCTTGGAGAAAAACTATTCAAAATAAGTAGCGCTATGGGCTCAATGACACAAGAATGTCAAGCGGGCAAACGTGAATTTGAGGGTCGACAATTGTTAGTTATCGACACACCCGGATTGTTCGATACACGTAGAGATTCATTTTCGGTGGCGTACGAAATAAGCAAAGCAGTGGGCATCAGTGCTCCAGGTCCACATGCATTCATCATTGTTATAAAGGCTGGTGGCAGCCGATACACACGTGAGGCTGAAGAAACAGTGAAGCTTGTTCATGACATTTTTGGTGGTAATGTCGTTCGTTATTGTGTGGTTGTTTTTACCGGCGAAGACAATATGCGTGAAGATGACCCCACGACAACACTCGACCGATGGCTTGCCGAATCGACTGATTCGATTGTCAGCCTTGTCGAAGCTTGTGATAGTCGTTGTATGGCCATCGACACGACTAAAAAATCAAAGGAAATGCACGATGCCAAAGTTCGCGAACTCATGTCGATGGTCGATCGAATGGTAGAACAAAATGGTGGGCGAGTTTACACGAACGAAATGCTAGAAAGAGCCGAACAGGCTTACAGAGAGCGAGAAGAAGAAATGCTCAGAGCTCAACACGAGGAAGAAAAGCGACGTCAGCAAGAAATTGATCAGGTAGGATTATGAGCCTTTTTTTAATGAAGGTTATATTGTGTAATCTATTATTAAAAACAGATTCAGCAGCGTGCCACCGAAGCTCAGCTTGAAAAGGAACGTCTGAGTCAGCAGCTCGAAGCAACAAAAAATCAATCACAGCAAGTAAAATAATCTCCTCAAAGACAAATATTCAGTTCTAGTTCACTGAAGTCTTTGTTCGAGATAAACGCATTCTGAAAATCAAAATATTGAGTTAAAAGAACGCAAAAATAGCTTTGGGACAGAAGAGTTACTAGATTGAAGTCTCAGTTGTATGTGATCGGATTTCTATGAAACGTGAATAGAACTCGGTTAAGTTCTTTCCTAAAAACTTTTCTCGTCATTTCCATCTTTTTTAAAACAAAGCGTAAGTTGAAGCAAACTTTTGCGAGGAGAACAAGATGCAGTAAAACACATCCATTTCATCAGAATTTACATCGAAAAATAACCGGAAAACGTTTAACAACAAACACAGGAACCCCTTATCGTATGGAACTCACTTTTTATCCAAATTTTGAAAGCTTTATTAACAAAATGTCGACCAAAACACATCACGCCCGCAGTTAAGTATGCAAGCGAGTAAGGGAATGTGGCCTACTCATAAAACACAACTCTTGATAGTTTTCTATATGTCAATAGTTGCAAAACGACAGTGAGTTATTTATCTTTTTTCATGCCATTTATACAATAGGCCCAGGATGCTCTTCTTGCCACCCGTCTTCAGGCAGAAGAACGTGAAAAACATTTTCGCGAACAACATGACGCATTGGTGGCCACCCATCGAGAACAAGAACGACACAATCGGCAAGCAGTGTCTGAAGCTCGCGATCGCAATCGTGAAACAGTCAAGGAACAAACAGGTGGAATTTGGGAGTCACTATGCAAACACACTTTGCCAGCTGTCGTTGAGAGTTTCAGTAGAATGTATGTAGGTTCAGGAGAAGTTTCGCCTAATGGACAGGCAGAGGGTTCATCCACATCCAACAATCATCAACCGGGCGGATTTTTTAGACAAGCAATAGGAAGACAAGAAGAAACAAATCCAACAAATTCATCGGTTCAACGTCATGCTGACAATACTGGCTTGCGTGGAGCAGGCGCATCGTCGTCATTCTATCGTCATCAGCAAATGGTTAATTTTCCTTCAGGTGGACCAGCAGATCATTCATTTCACCAACCAGTAGGATTTTCCATGACACGTGGGAATGGATTTGGGGCACGTTCAGGTGCAGGTCACACAGGTGGTTTTGGCAGAGGTGGATTTGGTGGAAATGGAAGACCAGCTCATCATCATCATCATTGAACGTCTCATGTATGCCATAGAGATGAATGTTTTTGTCGTGATGTACATCTGCATACTCTTTCATTCACTAAAAATAACTGTTGATACGCCTGATTGCATTGATGTTTCATTGCATATAACTTATGCAGACTAATCGTGTTCTAGTCAATAGCTGGGATATTTTCCTACAATTTTGTTTGATCAGAAGAAAATGCTGACTTGGTATTCGAAAAATCGGTTCAAAATGCCGAGAGCCACAAAAGTGTGATTTTCAGTGGTTTTTCGACCCTTCATCATAGTCAAATTGCAGAACAGAATGGCTCACGCGTTCACTCTATTTTGAGATTATCTGAACCTTTTTTCTACCCGTAGTTGTCATAGTGACTAGAGTACCTAAGTCGAACAGAACCGAATCCGAAAATACCGGTTCGATCCAACCTCTGAAAGTGACACCAGTCTGACTGCAACGAACTGTCTGGATGAGTTTCTCCGACAATTTTATACTGGAAAACGAAAATGGTCATTGTAGCTATTGATATAGCTGTCGGGATAATTAGTAATGGGAATCTTGTCAGTTTTCTAATATGGTTTCATAGGTTATTCTATGGGCAAGTCTCTAGATAGGTTGCTTCACAACTGTGTCTGCAAATGCCACAGAAATTCTTCGAGTTTTGTTGTGAAACACAATTGTAAATGAGTGTTGAAGTATATAGGTAGAAAAAGTCCCCCCTCCTCCCACCCTTCGTAGCCTGCCTAATAGACCGTGACAGACATGTCGAAAAAGCCTCTACATCGTCCCATACCATAACAAGCATTGCGGCATGCTCGTTTTTTACCCAATCACAGACTGTAACAGATATTTCGACATGTTTGACTTTTCACCTCATCACGGCATGGATAGAATCGGTACCGGTCCATACCGGTAAAACCAGTCTATCGATCTAATGGTAAATACCGGTCTACCAGTAATATTTTTAGAATATCAATCGAATCTTTATTTTCCTACTTTTTGATCATCGGTTTTCATTGAATCGCTTTGACTTGAGCAAATTTTATCAAATTGAGCATGTTCATGGTAATAGCAGCTCTTATATAATTCATCGCCTTCTTTCAAAGATATTTTCTTCGTTCCGATTAAACGATTGTATTGTGTTTGTATATTTCTTGCTTACTGAGATGAAATGGAATGATAACCTAAAGGATGAGATGGTCCTCTTCGAATTTTAGTATAACTTACATAATGAATAGAATGAGAGCACCATTTTTTGAACCGGGCATTTTTAAACGATAAATAATTGAATTTAGTAACATACCTAAATATGAGAAATATTATCAATAGTGAAAGAAACAGTTTTCGTCATTTATTATACAAAGGGAATCAAATAACCATCAAACAACTTTTTAACCCTTGTCTAGCACAAAATGAATGATATGACTGATCAAGGTGCCTCCAGCAATCTGTAATATTTCATCAGTTGACTTTGACAGGATTACCTAATTGTTTACTAACGAAAAATTTGGTAAAAACATTTAAAAAAATTATCTTTCTTTATGTTTCTTCTTATTTTCATGCACTTCAATGCTCCGAAAAGCCATAAACAACATCTTGCAGAGTGACCTTCGTTTTGTCTTTCCTACTTTTTAGTTATTCGAGAAATTTGGGAATTGTAATTTTTTCTAGTCGAAATCGAAATATAAACTATTTTTCATTTCCGAAACTTAATACTGGCTATGATTCGTGAACTCTTATTCACTCCATGAGAATTCCTTTATTGGGAATAGTATGTGAATTAATAGAAGTCGAGAATCTGAACAAACTTAGTCTATTGAGAAATTTCAGCAATCAAAACGATACGGAAATAAAAAACGCGAAGACAAAATGATGGGAAAGACATTAGGAAAAGTTAACTTCTGGGAATCATGAATGACAATGGATCAAAATGATCAAAAAATGGAGTCCTGTGAATCTTGAAATTTTTACGTTGATAGAAGATACTTTATGTAAATACAATAGAAACATCATGGAAACACTCCAATATATATTGTAGCCAAATATCTTGATGAACTTCTTTGGCCATTATTTGAAAATTTTGCATGATTAACTATACTTCTCAATGGAAGTAATATTCTACAAAAATTGCAATATCATCGCAATCAACAAAGACGTTTTTTTGTGTCGAATTCAAATTTTACAAGGTTTGAAATTCATGATGTATATCGAAAGAGATATCACACTCAACTCTTTTCAGATCTTACGTCTATTTCTACAAAATCTTCCTATATATAATTGACATAAAAAATCATCCAATGCATGATAATTGGATTCGCTCATCTTATTTTAAAAAAATAATACATTCATATATAATGGAAAGCTTCATTGATTTGCCAGAGATTTTCATTAAATTTACCACTAGCAGCATTATTATGTCATACTTATTTGCACCAATGGCAATTTACATTAGTTACATGAAATTTTTTAAAAGATACGTTGATTATTCGATATAAAAATACAGATTTTCTAACATGGAATGACTCAATCAATATTTCACAAACATTCCTCGGCAAATTTCAACAATGGTTATATTCAGATCTGCAAATGACAACATTTATTGGTAGTTGTGTTCATTTTCTTAATGCTTTGGTTGAAAATATAAATAGTCAATTATACACTAGAGTTATCATGATTCGACATGCCAACCATTCCTATTACCTTATATACATGATCATCCACAATTAACGCATCGAAATTAATTTTGATTTTCTCTTATACGTGCTTGTCAATATTATAATCCGTTTGAAGGCTTTAACACATATGTTAAACTTCAATCTTGAATTGAAATGCAATTGTAAGTTTCAATCTTTAATCTTCAACCTTCAAATTTCAAATTTCAAAAACTTTCAGAGCTCATCAAATAAAAAGTAATTCGACCCACACACATCAGCGCACCAACTGAGAGTGCCGAGAAAATATTTCCGGGGGTCATGTAATCTGAAACTTGAAATTCCAATTGAATTCAAGTTTCAAGTTTGACACTATTGAGATCTAAAGTGATGGAGGGTGTAAGGCTAGATAATGCTTTAATTATGTATATACAGTTAAATGTTGAGTCGTATCGTCTATTGTTTATGATTAATTTTTGCAAAAAATTGCTTTTTATAGTAGGTTACATATAATTATTGGTTATCATTAACTCACACTTATAGAGAAACATCTTAACACGACCTAGTTTTAAAACTGGTACTTTAGTAAAAGAGTTGCAAACTTAACATGGCAAGAAAAACCAAGTACAAGTAAAGAAAAACACATATGCTTATCAACAACTAACTCTTCGAAAGCTACTTATGCAATTAATTGTGAACAGATAATACACACGCAAGGCGTCGGTGAGATAATTCTCTGCTACTTTATCAACAAACGTCAGTATTTTCTTGATCATTACAGAGAAGCAATGAACTAGAGCAAACATCGAACTGCTTTTATTTGTATAGTTATATGACTAAATAATGGATTTATCTTTTTTGTTTTTCTATTATGCATTTCAAGCATGCAATAAATTAGCGAAGGTATCGTCTAACAAAAACAGAAACTAATTTGATTGTTAATCGGATTTCGTTTCAAAACGATTTGATTTTAAACTGAAAAATGAAAAGTGTAGTTATAATGAAAGCGTATTTTTATTTCCGAAGGACATCTTCTTTTCATTAAAATATGTTTCATTCAAGTTCAAGATTTATTAATTTAAAATAAAAATAAAAATTATTATTCTAGAATCAACTCGTACCACAAACAAAGATTACGATCTTATCATTTCATACAAGACCTTATAAGATACAGATCTCCAGCTAATGTAAAGATCTTAGAGTATGATTATTGTAAGATTTCGCAAGATTATACAATACGAATCTTACGCTTTTCGATACTTCGTAAGGTCTTGTACGATCGTGTACGATCTTTGTACAATTCCTTCACCTGGAGAGCTAGTCAACGATGTAGAGTGACATCTGTATTACAGCATTATAAAAACATAAGTTCTTTACATTATTACATAATATTACTGAAAACTTCTTTTTAATTTTGTTAAAGCATTTGGTAAAAATAATTTAGACATGCGATTAGTTGTTGCCCGTATCTGAAATAAATAATTATTGGTTAATATTGAAAATTTCTTGAAGCTTCTATTAGTTGCATCAGCTTCTTTGCTGCTTGGTATAATCTTATATTTTCTTTTCATATACAAGAGATAATGAAATAGAATTCAGTTTGCAGACTTTAATTGTATTTGAACGAAGTAAATTCAATGGCGTGATGATTTAACATTTATGCACATCTTCTCTTTACATAAGTTTTTTTTAATTTAAATTTGATTATAAATAGGTCTTTAGTACTTTGACACAAAATCAAAGATGCTTTGCAGTCAAGATATGAGACAAATTGAAACAAAAAGAATNGCAGTTTTAATATCAGTTTAAACAATAATAAATAGTTCCTATTTAATGATCTAAACAATAAGTATCTCGACAGTATATCGATGAGTTAAGAACATTAACAGAAACGGTTCACTCTCGATTTTATAATAACCATGTCTATAAATATGTAATATGTTCAAAAAGATTAATATCCACATGATATTTGTAAAATATGGACTCCAGATACTTTTGTAACATTACTTTTATTGAATCATCGACATCACGTACTATTGACGAAGACATGTGTCGATGTGATCGAACAATTACCCATGGTGTACGACTGCGATCTACAGAACTTAGATCATGCTTGATTCAAGCATATTGTGATGATGAAGGAAGAAAGTCATGTTTCATGGAATAGCACGCAACATGAACAGAACCCACATCGAAGCTGTACCAGAAGAGATCATTATCATTGGATGGTGGATGAAAACGATGTACAATTGGAACAGCACATTCATCATCTGAATCACAACAATAATTGTCCCTAATTATAGGGTGTGTGGGTGTGGGTGTGGATGGGTGTGTGAATGTGGGTGTACTTGTCAATGTGC